ACACATACAAATCCGTCTTTGACATTCTAGAGAAGAGGCCGGCACCAATGGCCTATGGTAGGACCAACCACCAGCTGGGTGATGGGGAGATTTCAGAACTGAGCCCCAGTTGTCACCCAGACCTCATCTATAACCCAGCCATGGAAGACATGCTGATCCGCTTTCAACAGCAACAGGTCACCGTTGCCCAGCAACTTGACCTCATGAGAGCTGACCACGAAACCTTCAAGCGAAAGATGGACGCTCAGTTCATCGCGTTGAAGGACCAACTGACAACTCAACTGGAAGCCTTGGTCATGGTAGCTGCTAGGCCACCTGTCACAGCACCTACACCTGCTTTGACACCACCAGTTCATGGGGAGACCAATGCCACTCCACTGTCAGCCATGGGCAGTGATGATGGCGTCCACAAGCCGACTGGTGGCAGCGCTATTGGTCCCCAACGGCTCCACAGCCCAAAGAAGCAGCAGCGCCACAGGGCTACTCGTTCCAAGCAAGATGCCACTGCCATCCAGCAACGATTGACTCATGCCCTCTTGGCCACCAACCAGCTGCCCACCAATGTAGCCACGGCTCCATCTCCCAAGCTAGCTTGTGGGGAGTTGCCTGTCACACGACCCCTGCGTGTCCCAGCTACGAGCCACCAGCTGCCCAGTGCCACACCCTTGAATGCCCTCGCTGGTGCCCATCCATCGTTGGATGATGGGAGATTATCGAGCTTGCCAGCCCTAGTAGTCATCCAACCTCTGGGGAGATCGTGATGGCAAACCTCCAGCCAGCAAGCAACCAGCTTCCAGAGCTGGGCCAACAACATTCCAGTTGCACAACCAAATAGACAAGTGTGGCTCCCACTCAGTCAGCTCTACAACCAAGAGCACATGAGCAGACCCACACAGTGGTGACCCCAAGCAACCTGCTCCAAGGCCAGAGCACACAAGGGTCCACCACAACCAACAATTGGCAGGAGACCTAGTGGTCATCACCCACAGTGACACCCAAGGTTCCCAGCCTGGTTCCCCAGAACCACCAACCTATGGCACAGCCAATGCCACAAGACTCGTACCCAATGAGGTGCCGTTGTCTTTGGATAGGACCAGCCTTGGTCCAACCATCACCAGTCCATTTGCCAGGAGGCCCACCAAGCAGATACCCTCTGCTCTTGGTGGAATCCATGGGGAGCAACACAGCAAGCACCTTTGACCAAGACAGCTTTGGTGTCTCCTACCCAGAGCTGACTGCCATGGTGTCCCTTCCCAGAAGCTGACCCACCATGCTTTCTACCCCAAGCTGGCTGCATGGCATTAGTGCATGGCAATGGACCAATCCGGTGACGCCCCTGGATTTTCGGACGGGCAACTAGACTACGTCCCTGTCTGGTACAGCCCATCCATCCCACCGTCAAGGGACATGATTGCGGGGCAAGAAGGCCGCTCCACTGAGAGCTTGCCACCGCTGAATTCGGCCTGTGGCAAAGCCACGATATTTGTCTACATATGAAGAAACAAACAACAGCTATGATAGCAACCAGCACCGCGACACCTACCGAGTCTGGTCATGCTGATGAAGCACGCAATCCATTTGCGCCTACCTTTGGTCAGCAACCGACCAACCATGCAATCCCTCCACTTGTGAGATCCCAATCTCACATTGTGTTCCACTAGCAGCCGATGCTGAGTGGCCCATGAATGTTCCGTTCATGGGGAGAGTATGTATTATGTTAGTTAGTAACTAATCGTATATCGTGGCATTCCCATGAGAGCGGATCCATACGCACTCGTGGGGAGCGATAACTTTTAGGAGCGAGAGCTCTGGATCCCGTCAGAGATAGCTCCAACAGCTATGCTGGCCTACAGCTCCAGCATGCGCAGTTGGCTTATCTCCCAGCAAAGCAGCAAGAAAGGATCGTCCTTTCTACCATAGTTAAGAAAATAGTACGAAAGATTGAGACCGATCCTGATTAGCTTGTAGCCCATTGATACGCAGCAGTTGATACCCATCCTGTTGAGGCCGGGCAGAAGCAGTAGGAGGTAGCAGATAGTACTGTTCCCAGACTGCCACTGCACGATTGAATAACGAAGGCTCCCAGCTCCTGAGGAGAGCTGGCCCAAAGGGTCCAGCAGAGAGCTCTGCTGGCCCTCCTGTCTGACTGACAGGGCCAAGTCCTTGGTTTGGTGCCTACTGGAGGTGTGGGAATACTCCTGAGGCACGACAAGGCTCCCTGAACTGCCTGACTACCGCTGTCCCTGAGGAAGGGTTTCAGCGAGGTCCAGTCCACTACTTCAGTACTGGAACTGATCCTTCTAGAAACTTATTGGTAACGTTGAACTGCCGCTTTCCCTCCATCTGCTCACTGCTGCTGCCGTAATCTCTAAAAGATAAAAAACCAACGCTGAACTCGCTCACATGCACTCGCTGACACGACCTGGCCTCTCGTGAATTTCAACTTTTGACGGGTTCTCATTTCCCCCTGCTATCATCCTAGTTTCCTCAACAGTCCTATTTTCCTCCATTTGTTGAACCTTTGAATCTGTTTGTTCAACCATGTTAGTGAATTTCAACAATCTTTCACAGTGGATCTGTGGCCCTAGAAGTTTCTCAAGGGCTATCCTGCTGTGTGTTCATGCTGCTTTTCTCTTTGTATCAGCGGATTGTACTGGTATCAGTGAACCCCAAAAGTATGCACTGCAACTGATTGACTTGAACGATGACAACAAGGAGTAGCATCGTCAGCTGGTTCCCATCAGTGGATATGTCCAGTTTGGAGGAAGTCTTTTGGGAGATATTAATACCGATAGGGGATTGTTCGGATACTCTGTGGACGTAGATGAGACAGGCACAACAGTCGTGGCCCATGAAAGAGGAACTGGCACTGTGCGTGTCTACGAGAATGCTGCCAACGGATGGCCCCAGAAAGGTCAAGACTTGACATCTCTTCCTGGCACTGGCGGACAAACAGTTGCAATATCAAGTGATGGCAGCATTGTTGCTGTCAGTTCTTCCACCAGTAAATGTGTTGTGGTGTTCCAGTACAACACAAGCTCAGAGATGTGGATGCAAAGAGGCAGTACAATTCAAGGTGTTGAGTTGGATGGCTCAATATTTCTTCCTTTGGTTATTCCGTTTCTCTGTCAGCAGATGGAGACAAAGTTGCAATTGGGGCTCCAGAGTATGATAGCCCAATAATCCAGGCTGGGTTTGCAACAACCTACTTCTGGAAAAGCAATAGCAATGACTGGGAGCGTGAGAGCTATAACGATTTCATCGCCGCTACTTCTGGAGTGTATGGAAATAATGAATTTGCACGGTTGGGGTGGTCTGTATCACTCTCCGGAGATGGCAACTGGTTCGCTGTTGGAATGCCTTTTTCTGGAATCTCTGATTTTGACTCCACAAGGGTTGGTGAATGTCGCGTTTACAACGTTGAGTTTGGCATAATCTTTCTAGGAGATGTTAATGGTGGAGCGATGTTTGGGTCCGCTACCCTGAATGAATTTGGCCATTCGGTGGCTCTAAGCTTTGATGGAAGCATCATTGCAGTAGGCTCTCCTGGTTCTGATGTGCCTGGGGCTCTAAATGCTGGCAGGGTGCAAGTCTTTTAAAGATTAGGCTCCCTATGGGTCCAATTGGGAAGGTAAGCATTGAAGACTGTGAAGACTAAATGTGCATGCCAAATGATTCTTTTGGATCACTGACTCTATTGACTCTGCCCCCTGTGGCTTATGATACCTACATAGTGATCTCATCGGCGGCGAACGAGATGATGAATTTGGGTCCTCCATTGATTTATCCAATGATGGTAAAACCCTTGTGGCTGGATCTGCAAACGATAAAATCTCAACAGTTAAGACTCCTGGTTACACCCGTATCTACAAGTTTGATGGCACTGATTGGGTCCTTCAAGAGATCAGCAGGGCCCAAGGTTTTGATATTGATGGAATCAGGGAAGGTGATTTGTTTGGATTCAGTGTTGCTGTTTCTGGTGATGGAACAAAAGTCGTTGTTGGAGCACCCGGTTTTGATGCCATTCCTTCAGCAGATGATGATGGACCTAATAATGGACTTGTCCAAATGTGGGGACAAACTGATTTTCCCACGTTTTCTCCTATCCTGAATCATTTACCCCAAGTTGGCAACCTAGGCACTGGTGGAAGCCCTGCACATGCCAGTTTTGTTAGTAGAGTATTCATTTGGTGGCAGGGTGCAGTCACCTATTTGGAAAATTTGATTGATTGATGTGGTTTTGAGTGATTGTCAAGGTGTTTCCATTTCTGTTGTTTTGGTTGATGATATTTACATAATTTTTAAAAGTTTACAGCCAACGAGGAGTATTGAGATTCTCGATTTCAAGGAACTCAAAAAGAACCACAACATGTAATCACCTCTACTCTGTACTGGTAGGATGGCTACGCAGGCGACCTTTCTTGGATCTATCCTTGATGGAAAAGCTTTTGCTAAAATCGAATGATCCTTGATGATGATGTCTCATGTGATTGAGGCTGTGATTGATCAGTTGTGATTCTGATCCGATTGATCATTCATCAGATGATCAATGGCCAGAAGTGCCATTGGACCTTCACATACCCCCAGTACCACCATGGTACATTGCCATTCCACTAAAAGATTGATCATTCTTTGCTTAAGCCTGGCTTCGGCTGGCTTCCGTAGATAGATACCCTACTCTAAACCCCCGTTCATTATGTCAATTATTAGTACAGCTCGACTAGCTAGCTAGTAGCTTTTTAAAAAATATTCTTACGATAACCCTAAGCTCATCCTTTTCTTCACTTGTTGGGGTTCTCAAGAACATTCGAGAAGACTTCTCAAGAACATTCGAGAAGCTGCTTCTGGATACAGCGTTCGCATGTCGGTGTTCGCATAGGATGATGCTTGGTTTTGGTGTCTCGAGGCGTCGGTTTGCTTGGAAACAAATTGCCCTCAACGGACTGAGGGTCTTTCACACTTTTATCGCTGTATGTGTGTGTGTGTGTGTGTGTGTGTTTGTGTGTTTGTTGCAGCTGTTTTCGTCGCATAAGGGACACTTGCTTCGTTAAGGATAGGGAGTAATCTTGTGTGTTCTGTTGGACACAGTAGTTTCTACCCATGGGTACCAGTACTGGCTGGCTATGCAGACTCACTAGTGTGTCCATATAAACACAGTGGAGGTTTTTCCAAAGACATAAGGGACATTTTCCTTGTTAAGGATAGGGATTTATATTGTGTGTTCTGTTGGACACAGTACTCTGGACCCATGGGTACCGATTACCGATACCACTGTGCCAGTACTGGCTGGCTATGGAGACTTGCTATCAATAGTGTGTCCAGTTGAACACGGTAAATGATTTGACCAATCAAATCTCTTTTTGACAGTTGAGGGCATCAGCCTCCGGCTGCTTGTTCTTATTTCTTTGAACAACACCCAGAGCTACATGTACCATAAAAGGATGCCTCAAGTTTGTTGTGGGAGGAGCAGGACAGAATCCATCATCATCTACTCAATCGAATCAATTCAATCATGATGAGCGATTGGAAAACTGGAGTTGCAGTCTCTGTCATGGTCTTTGGGGTTGCGACCCCCATCCTCCAACATGTCTGTCTGCACCTCTCGTCCAAGTGTCCAAGGACATCTCCAACCACAAGAGAGTTCTTGGTGCAGGATAAGGATAAGGACGTGTTCGCAACTCCTTATCTCAAGTATCTGCCAGCTCGCATTGTTGCCAATCTTCTCATGATGGCAGTTTCCATGATTCCAAACCTTGCACTGTTCACCTTCACTGTTGGGTTCCCTCTTTATTTCATTCGCAATCTTGCGGGACCTTACTTTTACCATTCATTGGCCATATTGTCTCTCTTTTTGTTGGAATATGCCTGGAAGCTATACAAAGCACCCCGGACGGAGCCCAGCGATGAACTCCCCGCCAAGGAAAAGAAGAAGGTCTGCATCATTGGAGGGGGCTGTGCAGGCCTGGTGACGGCCAAGGAGCTAGCAGCCGAGGGTCATTGTCCCATCATTTTTGAGAAGACGGCTAGCATTGGAGGCTTGTGGCAAAGAGGTGAAGGTGCTTCTCAACGAACTGCACTAGTCCTCGAAGAAACCTACACTTCTTCCTCAGCACTCAACACTGCATTTTCCGATTTTCCTATTCAACCTGAGTTTGGTGGCAATGAAACTTTCTGTATGCATCAGGAGGGGTTTATGAAGTATGTAGATGCATATGCTAACCACTTTGGATTGAAACAGTACGTCCAGGTCAATACAGAAGTCTTGACCGTTCGACGAAACACATGTGATAAATGGGAGGTCGCCGTGCTTCAGAACAAACAACACATTACCCACGAGTTTGACGCTGTTGCCGTTTGTTCGGGGCAGGCTAATATGCCAAACATTCCCAAGATCCCAGGGCAGGAGCATTTCAAGGGTCGTATCCGCCATTCCACGGAGCTTCGCGACCCAGAGCAAATGGCACAGATCTACAATGGGAAGCGAGTTCTTTGCATTGGCCATGGAGAGACCGCATCGGACAATGCCCAATCTGTGGCCAAGTCAGCCATTCAATGCGACCTGTCTATTCGCAACGCGGTTTTGGTCCTTCTGCGCAACTCACTTGGTGCCCACCCGGATTATGTCGAGCACAGAAGCATGCATTCTTGCCCACCTTGGCTCCGTTGGGCCACATATATGCTTGCTTGTGGCTTCATGTTCATGTTCAATTGGGCCTTTGCAAGGGTCTATGATGGCAAGGTGTATCATCTGCCAAGCTGCATTCACCAATACAGGTTGCTGTTCACGCCAAAGTACCTGTGGCATTGTCTTACTGGGAAGCGCTCCATCTGTGCCTCTGTACAGGTTACCAAGAGCGAAAACTTTCTTTACATCATCAATGGCAAGACATCCAAAGTCAAACCAGAGGTAGGCCATATTGACAAAGTGGGAAAGATCATCTTTCAGGATGGAACCTCTGGAGATTATGATGAGATTCTCTTGAACACAGGTTTTCAGCCCAGTAGATTTCCTTTCCTGGCTCCAGGATTTGACAGCAATCCACGGGATGATCGATTCCTGGCTATGATTCACCCGCAGCTTCCTGACATGGCCTTTATCGGTTTTGCTCGTGGTCAAGTTGGTGCTTTGGTCCTTGGGTTTGAGATGCAGGCCAGGTGGTTCGCCTTGCTGGTCTCAGGAAAGCGCAATTTGCCCACGGTATGTGAAATGAAGAAAGTGATTGCAAAGGACCGCCTGGAGAAAGACTGCACCCAATACACGAGGGGCACGTGGTTTTATGCAAACTATTTGGCCCGGTTTTATGTCAAGTGTGAGCCAAATTTTGTCCAATTCTTCTTGGAGCATCCGATTGCTTGTCTCAAGGCATACTGCTCGGCTCCTACTGGATATCAATACCGCATACGAGGACCCCATGCCGATCCAAAGGCTGCAGTGGAGGGTTACCGGCTGTCAAATTCTGCGATCCTGTATCTACCTCCTTCTTGGGCATTGAACCACTTCTTCTGGCTTCTTTCTGGCTTTGCCTGCGAGTATCTGTGGTCTCGCCTTCCTTTGCTTGGGCCATTCTTTCTCCCCGCCCTGGCTCAGTATCACTGAAGTCTGTAGGACCTAAGAGATGAGTTGTGTGGAGTCCTTGTGAAAAGTTCTGGTCCGAGTCAAGATGCAGTGGTCTATTGCGCAGGCTAACTGCAGAAAGAGAGGAGAATACTCCCAAGCTGCATTACAGTTTGCATGTCATAAACTGAAACTTCGATTCTATATATTTTTAAGCCCTACTGGTACATTGCTTCCCAACCAATTCATTTACTCCAACACGCCAGGAAGGATGTAGTGTTGTGCCGTAGTCTCTGGGTTTGCATTCAAGAGGTTGCGGCCTTCGCGAGGCATGATGTTTGCCATGTTCCGGTCGTAAACTTCGGCATAGTTTCCAATGGCCTGCACAGCATCTCGGAACATTCGGTGGAATCCTTCCCCAAAAGCAAATACCTCGTTCATTTGACCAGAGGTTTGCTGTGAGATGCCCTTCGACTCGGCGTGAACCATGGCAGAGACTGCCCATGAGACAAACGAGGCCCAATCATGGTCTTCTTGCCTCGTTACCAAGCAATAATTATCTTGGCGGCCCACACGTCTCACTTTCGCGTAGAAGTATGGAGAAGTGAACGCATATCCGACGTTTGTAGTGGGCTCTTTGACATCATCTCGAAGATTCCACTCGGCACCAGCCATGACATCAATCTCTGAGCTCGCAAGCAGTTGGTATCCCTCGGCAGGACCATCCAGCTTCACAAAAGCCACTGCATTTGCATCCCCTTGAAATAGGCTGGCAGCCAAAGCACGGCAGTAGTCAACATCCATTCCGGAGAAGGAAGCAAGAGTATCGTCTGGTGTTGACTCTACTTGTGTCGTGCAAAATCCAGGGCGGGAAGGTCGTACCCCGCATCGTAGCTGGCCTCGGTCCAACACGCCTTGAAGAATTGGTCCCAGAGGTACCTCAGCACCTCGTTCCTTCTCGATATCCCCCAATGGGGGGGTGTACAGGAGACCTGTGGTTCCGTCGTTGATCTTGTTCAATCCAGCACGAGGAGAGAACATGGGCATCGTGTGATGAAAGAGTTCTTGGAAGTTGCCTAAACGTTCCAGGGCGTGCGTGGACATCTTGCGATACTCTGGACCGAATAACTCGGTATAAGGGAACAAGTCTGCCACTTCCTGGGTGATGCCACGTTTTTCGGCTGCCAACAGCACTTGCAAAACGGTGTTGACAAAGTCGGAGAAAACAGGGTCCTTTGATCGTGTGACGATCGAAATGGGGTGCTTGGAGAAGTACCGAGTACCAATCTTTACATCCTCGTGGCCTTTGGATACGGCATACTCCAGCAACAATTGCTCTACCGAGTCGAAACCGGACATGACAATGACATTGCAATCTCGACCGAGGATATCATGGCGAAGGTCCTCCGTGTCGTAAGGCACAATATGACTTTGTGGAAGGTGGTGTGCCAAAACATCCATGTCGTCGGCATTCGTGGCGTCAACACAGACCTTGAGGTCGCTGCATTCGTTCCAGTTTCTGAAGTTGTCTTCGGCACAGTCCACGAAGAAAGGATCGCCTGGAACAAAAGAGTTGGTACAAGAGAATATGAGTTGGCTGGTAAAGAGGCCAGGTACATTCTGAAGTCGTGCAGTAATGTAACTTACCTCCGACACGAAGACCTCCATAGAGATAAGGCATGCTAAAGGAGAAACCACTTTTGGTCTGTTGGGATGTCTGCAACCAAACAATCGTTGGTGAGCAAAGGGCTGACTGTGGTGAACCAACACACCATCAGCAGCATCAGCTTACCTCGAAGACTTCTCGCTCCATGGTACGATGAGTCGCACTGGTGATCAAGTCCAGCTTGCCTTGCTGAAGATCCGAGAACAAGTGTTCTTTGGCGGAGTTGACAAACTCAACTTTCACCGATGCCGCAGCTGCAATGACCTCGCACTGCAAAAGTCACGTCAAGTACAGGCAATGCGCATTAGTACACGGAAACAAGGAGATAAGAGCATGTCAAGTTTCCCGCTTTGATGAAGCACTCACCAAGGCGTCATCAAAGCGCGAAATGGGAGCATTGGCTGCCCAGTTGCCGACACAACGCAATGTCCCTCGTTCTTTGATCTGTCCCAGAGTAGGAGAGCCAGAGAGGTTGGGTTCCTTTCCATCGACAGTGTCACCTGGGATTGATCCGTCGAAGAATCCCGCCAGTCCCAGGATCAGGAGCACAATTGCCACTAGCAGGATCGCCATGTTTGCCTTGATAATGAGGACGATCCCGTCACTCTGCTGTGCTTGCATCACCTTGCTGTCATCTTCACCAAGGACCTTAAGCTCTTCGGAGAGCATGTCAGAGCTATCGACCATCGTGTCGTCATCATCGCCATCGAGGAAATCTCCAGCCTCGAGGTCAACTTTCTTGGTGCCTTTGCCCGATTTGCCACCAATGCCGTTCCCCTTCGAAGCTCTTTCTGGATCTTTCAAGGATTCTTGCTGGACCATCTTGGTGGAATCTTCCCCCTTGTCAGTGATGTTGTTGCTCTGTTTGCTTTGAGGAGACATGGTTGCTTCAATAATTGAGCTGGAGTTTTGTAAGTTTTCGAAATTATGATTGTGGGGGTTGCTCTTGGACGGATAATGATTGGAAAAGTAAGTGTGGGCTTAGCCGGATACCCCTGTACAGGTACAACTCCCGCAGGCAGAAAGAACCTCGTAACAGATGCCGCCAATATGCCAATCGCTTCAATAAGAGGTCAGCACAGATCGTCTTGTGTGCTTTGAAGTTTCAACGTCATACGTAGCACAAGCACACAAGCATCGCTCACGCATAATGACCCTTTTCCGTAACATGGGAAAGACTTTGACGTGGACTACTCCTATGAATCTTTAATTCTATGGCATTGAAAGTACTTACCAGTCATGGTGTCATAGTACGATGTAGCTCATGGATGATAAGGCGTTTGGTGAGTGGTTGATGACTGTTGATGTTAATTAAGCAAAAAGGATGCAGCTCTTTATTGCCTTTAATGTAGGATTCGATTGATGTAATAAGCTTTATGCTCAATGGCCAAACGGAAGTTACAACTTACTTCTCCTCGTGTACTGGTAAGGAGCCAGGGGCAAGGATTGAAGAGAACCAAGTTCAAGAAACCTTCTACGTCAGTCTTTGATGTTAAACCATTAGTTTTTCTGTCATGATCGAATGCCAGCATGCGTACAGGAGAACAGGATGTCTAATTCCGAGATTAATAAAATGGTCAAAAGACAAAGTAAATAATGGTTTTGACAGGTTCCAGGTTCCAGGGGTCCGTCGTCCACATGTCCACGAGCAGTTGTCCATGACCAACTCCCGACCTCGCTCTGTACTCGAGGATTTTGGAGGACATACATGTACCTACCGTGGCAGAACACAGAACCAACCACAGATCCCAAGATCCAAGGACACACCGGGACCACCACACCATACATGCAGTTCATGTAGAACAGGTTGCAGGGAATCCTATGCATGTAATTAGCTGGACCCCGCATGGACGCGGTATGGGTTGGCTGGCTGGCTGTTCTTTGTCCCTGTCCGAGAGAGGTAGTAAGGAGGATCTGCTTTTGGTTGCAAAGAATTCATCAGGTGAGAGGACGCACAGCCAGCTCTTAGACACTACGGAATACATTCATGTCATCCCCATCCTCGTGCTGGCACACCGGCCCTCCAAGGAATTGGGGAAATCCTTCATTCCTCTCCTTATTGGTGTGCTACTAAAAAAGAAGGAGGAACGAGGAGTAGATATCTAGGCTGGACGCTGGTGAATAGACTGGCTATCGTAGCTACCCGATATTTCAATGAAGCTGATTTGATTCATTCGATTCTCATCCTTGGCTGCCTGCCTGCTGCCTGGTGCTGGTGCTCGTGGCTTCCTCGTTTCTGTACGGTAGGTCAGTCTCGGCAAACAGCTCCAGGGGCTTGAGAGGCAATTGACCATGTTGTATGTTGGGATTTCGCATGTCGGACAACTGAACTTCGCTACATGTACTTGAAAGAGCTTGAAAGTAGCGGTACGTAGGCTAAATCCGTGCGTTTCCAGTCCTGAGCTGGACTGCATCGGGACACTGCAACCCCAAAAGGGACTCGACTCGACTGAGGACTCAAGCACTCAACTTACAACAGCAGCCGCCACGCTCCACGCTCCACGCTCCACGCTCCACGAAGCGTCAGGCGTCCACGCTGACGCCATGAAGCAATGAAGCCACACATAAACACTCACACAAAAGGAAAGATCTCGACTTCTTCTTCCTCTTACACATCAATACACAAACCAAAGATAAACAATCCAAGGTAGTGTGCGCTGTACAACAATCATGGCTAGTCGTCCAGCAGAGGAAGATGGGGATGACAACGAGAAAAGCCGCAAGAAGCCTCGTCTATCAGAACCCAAGCACGAGTTGTGGGAAAAAAGAGATGTTTGGGTCGACCAGATTTTCCCTTTTGTGGGCATTGGCCAGTTTGCCTTTGTGGCAACAGTCAGTAAAGACATGAAAGGTCTGTATCGAGATTATTGTGAGGCTGTTCATGATCCTCCCAAGGTCGTTATTACTGGTAGTCCGCCTTCCAGCCGCTCAGCAATCTATTGTGACACTTTTCTGAGCGCAGCTCTGTCTAGCGTGGCGTGTGCCGAATCTTGGTTTCGTGAGACCACAGAAGAAAATCGCATTCTTGCTAACAGAGTGTGCGACTGGGCAGCAAAATCTGGAAATCTTGAGATCCTTCAATGGGCTCGCAGCAAGGGATTCCCATGGACTGCACGGACTTGCAAAATTGCCGCAGAGCAAGGCCATTTGGCCGTACTCAAGTGGGCCCATGAGAATGGATGCCAATGGTTTTCATGGGCATGCGCTTGTGCTGCTGAAAATGGCCATCTACACATTGTGAAGTATCTTCATGAAAATGGTTGTGGATGGGACACATGGACATGCACTAATGCAGCCATGAATGGCCATTTTGAAATACTCAAGTACGCCTTTGACAATGGCTGTCGTTGGGATGAAAAAACCTGCAGCTACACTGCTGCCGCAGGGCATTTGAATATTCTGAAGTATCTTCATGAGAATGGCTGCCCTTGGAATTCATCCACATGCTGCCAAGCAGCAAGTGGAGGTCGTTTTGATATTCTGAGGTATGCACATGGGAACGGTTGCCCCTGGGACGAAAAAACTTGCCAACATGCAGCCAGAGTGGGCAATCTGGAAATGCTGAAATATGCGCATAATAATGGTTGCCCATGGAACCAACTTGCCTTCCAGCAGGCGGCCCGCAATGGTCATTTACACGTTCTGAAATGGTTGCATGAAAACGGCTGCCCAACTGATGAAGATCTCTGTGCGATTGCTGCTCGGAATGGTCATGTGGGAGTCCTGAAGTGGGCTCTTCTCAAGGAGTTTGTATGGGATGCAAAAATTTGTTCCACTGCAGCTGAAAATGCTGGCCAAGCAGAAGTTCTCAAGTTTGCTTGTGAAAATGGCTATGAGTGGCACATGTGTGAATTTTCTTGTCAGAATGCTGCTGGCAGAGGCCATTTGGAAGTTTTGAAGTATGCGCGGCAAAGAGGGTCCCCCTGGGATGAAGGTACTTGTAAAAGTGCTGCTTCGAATGGACACTTAGATATCCTCAAATGGGCCCAAGAGCAGGGGTGTCCTTGGGACGAAGAGACTTGTGCTGCTGCTGCTGCCAGCGGTCACCTACATATCCTCAAATGGGCCCGAGAGCATGGTTGTCCTTGGGATACAGACACTTGTGCAAGGGCTGCTGCCTTTGGTCGCCTAGATATTCTCAAATGGGCCCATGAGCATGGATGTCCTTGGGATGCAAGCACTTGTGCTCGCGCTGTTTCCAAGGGTCACCTCGGTGTCCTCAAATGGGCACACGAGAACGGTTGTCCTTTGGATGGAAACACTTGTGCCGCTGCTGCCACCAATGGCCACCTACATATCCTCAAATGGGCCCATGAGCATGGTTGTCCTTGGGATGGAAACACTTGTGCAAATGCTGCACGCTATGGTCAGCTAAATATCCTCAAATGGGCCCATGAGCATGGATGTCCTTGGGATTCGAGCACTTGTGCAAGTGCTGCTGCCTTTGGTCACCTAGATATCCTCAAATGGGCCCACGAGCATGGCTGCCCTTGGGACGAAGAGACTTGTGCTCGCACTGCTGCCTCTGGTCATTTGGAAGTTCTGGAATGGGCCCATGAAAATGGCTGTCCCTGGGATGAAACTGCTTGTGCCAATGCAAGATATGGTGGCCACGAGGATGTATTAGAATATCTCGAAGCAAATGGCTGTCCACCGGAATAAGATACCTTCAGGAACCCTGCACTGATGTAGGGGAACTGAATTCACCCGCACCATCCTTCAATTGAAAAGCGTGTCTGGATGATGGCAGAAGGCTCCAGAAGGTCGCAAGGTCCTCCCTGCTGTGCGACGTGGTTCGTAAAGGAAGGAGTGGCTACCTAGTATGTAATGGACTACATGCAAAATAGAAAATTTCATAGAAAACTGTCCTCTGATGTCGTGGTGACAAATACCGGTACATCCTGGACGGTAAGGATACCGGTACATCTATTCGTATTCATCGCATGGAGTGTGTTGTTTCGATAAACCCCCGGGAAATTTTAGTTGTTGCCGCCGATTCTTGGCATTGATTCACAAATGGAAATAACCCAAAGCTACGACGCTTGGGGCTTGGCTGCTCGCTTGGCACGTGTAGTCTTGCGCTTTTTGTTGTTGTCGGTGGAAGCCTTTGCTTCCCCGTCATTGGCCGAGACATCCGTCAAAGCCTGGCGTTTCTTGGGAGGGGCCTTCTTTTTCTTGGCCGCTGGTTTGGCATCCTCCTTTGCCTCTGGTTTGGAATCGTTGGCGTTGGCCGATGCTGGCAACGCTGGCACATTCTTGTTTTCGGGTTCCATCAATCCCTGGGCAATCGCGAGCTCTTCGGCCGATGCTTGCAAAGCCAACCCGTTGTACCCGCCGCTTTGGTAGTTGTATCCCTTGCTGAACGACTGAATCTTCATGGGTTCCTCGGCCTTGCAAAAATCAAAGTCTTCTAGAGCCGCCAGTCCATTGTCGAGTCCTATCTTCAAATCATGGAGCGACGCAAGCTTGACCTTGGCACGATCGCGAGCTTTGGACACCTTGCTCATTCCAGGCTCCTTTCCCACCACCAGGCAGTCCGTCTTTCCAGAGATGGATCCCGTGACTCGACCTCCAAAACTCTCAATCATCGCCTTGACACTGCCCTTTCCCAGATCCAAGCCCCCACCGCCACCAATCTCGGGGAAGAGTCCGGTCAAGACAAACGTCTTGCCTTTGAAGACGGTTTCGTCGGAAGCTCCATTCCGCCCTGGCATGGGAATGACAAACTGTTGTCGATGCTTGACCAATGCAGTGGTCGTAGCAGCAGGAACAATGGCGGTGGAGGCCGCAGCTGTGGCCGCTGTAGAAGTTGCGACAAAGGCCGTCGTAGCAGTGGGTTTTGCGGCCGGTTTGACGTCCAAAATCTCTTCCTCGTCGTCATCCTTTTTTGGCACAGCCTTCTTTTTCTTGGCCTTTTTCGATTTGGACACTGGCCGCGCTCCAGTGACTTGTTCTACCATGTCTTTTTGCGCTTCCGAACGTGCTTGTGCCCAGTGTTCCTTGTTTTGACAGTGCTCCACAAATGCCTGTTGGTCCTCTTCCGGAAGCTCGCGGAAACCCACCAAGAGCAACTCTTCCATTTGAGAAATGGCAGCGGCATATTGTTCCGTGGTGGCATTGGCATTGTCATCATCATCTCGTGGCAATCCCAGCCACACTTTGACGGGAACTCGCCAGCAACGCAAGTGGACCCATCGACTGTACGTTCCAGATTGATCATTCAAAACTCCAATGCGAATTTCGCCCTTGGCAATTTTCTCCGGGACACCAGTGGTGTCGTCATCTTCCGGCTGGGAACAGTTTTTGGCCTTGCCAGAAGCTTGGCATTTGCTGCGTGCGGATTTGGCCAATTCCACGCGGTAGAGAGGGACGGATTCGGTCTCCGCTTCTTGGTAGAATTCCCAAGAGGGAGGTGGTCCATTGCGAAATGCCGCCTCGGCTTTGGCGTAAAAGTCGGCAAAATCAAAGGCGTCGTCGTCGTCGTCGTCGTCGTCTGGACTGTAGGCTTCGTCTTCCTCATTGTCATTCTTGCTGGCATCATATGCCTTGGCGTCGGAGAACAGCCAGGATCCACTGTTCTTTTTGGCGTGCATTTCCTTCAAAAGCTCAAAGGAAGCTTGCACGCGGCGAAACTGGGCAGCGTCGCCGCCCTTGTCTGGGTGATGCTTCAAACAAGCTCGATGATACAGCTTCTTGATCTTTTTGAATTCCTCATCGCGCGTTTGACAGTCATCGAACATGGAGTAGTCGTCATTGGCGTCCAACAAGTCCACCAGCGCCTTGCCAATGGCCACTTGACGTTTGGTCAACGCCGACTTGTTCTTCTTGGGTTTGCTGCTGCGAGTGGTACGAGGCATCTTGATTCTTTCTTCTTCTTCTTCTTCTTTGTTGTTGTTGTTGTATTGGATGATATGATGTCAATCAAAGCACAGTCAAACTCTTTGCTTCCTCTGATGTGAAGGCGAAGCGAGGAGAAAATGGCGCCAAATTCCATCCAAGGATTCACCGATTAGGGTTGGAATTGATTCTGCGAAATAAAATGCGAAGACTCAGGGCAGCCCCAAGCGTTGCTTCTTCCACAAACTTGCTTCCTCCTCTTTGATGCCACAACAGGAAGAAAAAGTATAGAACAACAACTAACTGATCAAGGAAAATGGAGGACGAGTTTGGAGACGATTCCTTCTTTGAGGAAATAGCGGATATTGATGAGAATGGCAAGGTGATTTTGAAGAAGGAAAACGAGGAGATGATCGAGAGTGGCAGCAACTCTGGGACGGTTTCCGGAACATCCAAGAGAAGCACATCCTCTACAACCGCAAGTTCTTCCGGCAAAGTGATGAAGGATGAGTTTGGCGACTATTCCTTCTTTGAAGATATTGCCGACATTGATGAGAATGGCAAGGTCATTCTTACACAAGACCAAAAAACGAAGGATGTTCCAAGCAAGCCATCAACCAAAGAACAGGTAGCTGAGAAGATGGAAGACGAGTTTGGAGATTACTCCTTTTTGGCAGACATTGAAATTGATGAAACAGGCAAGGTTATTGAAAGTGGTGCGGACGAACGCACATCTGTGGAACAACGGACACATCTGCCGGTACATGGGGACCACGAGGAGCAACAAGTTGCTTCCGACGCGGTACCCTCTTCTCAGGTTTCACTGCCAAGAGCTCCGCTGCAAGATAATCCGGAACAAGGGACAACTCTGCACACTCGAGAAGAAGCTACCTTTTGGGATGCTGCGACATGGGGTTCGCCTCGTCGGTATGCCAGGAAGCGATCCGTCGAGTCGGAAGCAAAACAATCGCCAACCAGTGTGTTGGACAATCCATACCGGCGTCGCGTTGCGGGCGCGAAGAGAAGAAAGAACAGTTCAACCAGCGGTACAGAGAGACAAGGAGACTCGCAAACAGCAAAAAGCTCAGGTCAGCTGCGAAAACCCGAGCGGTTCATCGTCTACGTCTAGCCAGATGGCTGTTCAATTCATCTGTTTGACTATTACATTCAGAGACAGCCACGATATCGGCTCTTAGGTATTTTATTGGCGCGTCTCTTTTAAGTTGCAGCCGTTTGGGTAATCTCCGATTACATGCAGTCAATCCAGCAAGCTAAGAGCTACCAGCCATCTAGCCGCTGCCCTCTCATCTGGGGCTCCTTTGCTGTTGTAGCCGTTGTCGTCAAGCTTTGAAATGATCCGGCAAACGCACCAGAATGGAACTCCTTAGCTATGCTTCTGCCACAGACACCGAGCTCCAGTTGGCACCCAACGTGCGTCTCCCTCCTCTGCAAAACATCCATTTACCCCACCCCATGGCTCTTGCGAACTTGGATCCCATCAAGGATTGGCCCATGCTGCAACCAATGGAAGCCAAGACAACGTTTGCAGTAGCCACAATCCTGAGAGTCGCTTGGATCCCTTGGATACATCTACCGCATCGCTGTCTTTTGCATCCTCCCTATCGATAGTTTCAGTGTTGCCCCCCTCTTGCTTTTGGGTTACAGTCGTGGATGTTCTTGTTGTATTCGTTTCCGTATTGTTTGGCACCAGTGTTGGGAGGGAAGGCGCCAAGGAGACGTTGGAAGTTGGAACGCCGAGAAAAGTGGGAGAAATCGAAGGACCAGCGGAAGGAGTCCGTGAAGGAGCATTGTAGGGTCCTTTTGATGGATTCCAAGATGGGTGAAGACTTGGAGTCTCCGGCGGTTGGCGTGATGGTGTCAGGGAAGGATTATTGGAGGGACTTGCCGGCAACAAAATCGATATTGAACGCTGACTAGGAGAATCGGATGTTGTTGCTGATGGGACAAGAGAATGCACATGGGAAGGAATTGTGGTCACCGATGAACTTGAAGTTGGATGATGGATTGGAGTCTCTGATATTGATGGTTGCAATGATGGGACCAACGAAGGGCTCTCTTGCGATGGCATTCCACCCATGGTGGGAGTTGTAGAGGGGTTACCACTAGGCATGTTGGTGGGAGATGCTGAAGGCCGTTCCATGCGCATGTATAGATAGGGTGCCACTGCGGCCACATCCTTGCAGAAATAGGTGGGTAGGTGGCAGTCGATGCGAGACCATCGTTCCACTGTCTTCCCATCCAGTCCAAAATTGCGAAGGCACACTCCCGCCCTCAGGAGGATGCTGGGGCTTTGGCATTCAAAGTCCGAGTATTGTTGACGAAAGAATTCCTGGTTGTTGCAATATAGTTTTAAGCTTCCATATCCCCACACAGTTCTGTTTTCTGTGACACAGAGACCCTCATCAGCAAAATACCTGGATCGCACTCGAGCAGCCGGCAACTCAGTGACAGGCAATTCTTGGTGGCCTCCCAGGCACGACTCTTCATCTGGATAGAATCGCTCTGTGATTAGGGGAATGGTATAATTGTAATTTTGGGCATAGGAGAAAATGTTGCTTTCCCTGTCATTTGGGATACACCAATCTAGGTGGACATCAAATAGCTCTAGCTCCAGTACTTGATCTCGGACCACAGTCTTGTTCAAACAAGTGCTACTGTTGGCAGGAGGCCTGGCCCACAGTTTTTCCAAACGATCTTCCAGAGAGTCTGTGTCGAGGCAATCCGATACTTGTTCGGTGCAAAGGGCATCCAGGTAGGTGGATTTGCACACTTGTGTGTTATTGATGACACGATAGGAATACCATCGACTCTGGAGTGCCCCGCCAGCAAGGGCGCGCTGGGAGTTACTGGCATAACAGTCACCCTCCGTGAAAATGTTTGTTGATTGAGAGCAAGTTTCTTCACATTGGTCACTGCAGGGATTGGAAAAAATAGTGTGGAAAATCAAGTTGGTGCTAGATTGGGCGAATGTGGGGTGGAGTAGTGGTGATGGGACAAGAGAGTGCTTGTGGGAGGGACTTGTGGTCACCGATGAACTCGCAGTTGGATGAAGGGTTGGAGTCTCTGATATTGAGGGTTGCCATGATGGGACCCAAGAAGGGCTTTGCGATGGCATTCCACTCGTGCTAGGAGTTGTAGAGGGGTTACCACTAGGCATGTTGGTGGGAGATGCTGAAGGCCGTTCCAGGCGGGTGTATCGATAGGGTGCCACTGCGGCCACATCCTTGCAGAAATAGGTGGGTTGGTGGCAGTCGATGCGAGACCACCGTTCCACTGTCGTACTATCCTGTCCAAAATTGCGAAGGCAAGTTCCAGCCCTCATGGGGGTGCTGGGGCTTTGGCATTCAAAGTCCGTGTATTGTTGGCGATAGAATGCCTGATTGCTGCAGTAGAGTTTCAGGCTTCCATATCCCCACCTGGTTCTGTTTTCCGTTACACAGAGATCCTCATCGGCCAAATATCTGGGCCGTATTCGAGCAGTTGGCAAATCTGCAATGGCTATTTCTTGATAGCCTCTCATGCAGGACTCTTCGTCTGGATAGAATCGCTCAGTGATTAGGGGGGTGGTGTAATTGCTGCTTTGGGGATACGAGAAAATGTTGCTTGTCCTGTCGTTTGGAATACACCAATCTAGGTGAACATCAAATAGCTCTCGCTCCAGTACTTGATCTCGGACCACAGTCTTGTTTAAACAAGTGCTACTGTTGACAGGAGGTCGGGCCCACAATTTTTCAAAAGGATCTTCCAAAGAGTCCGTGTCCAGACAATCGGATACTTGTTCCATGCAAAGTGCATCCAGGTACGTGGATTTGCACACTTGTCCGTTGTCGATGACACGATAGGAATGCCAGCGACTCTGCGGTGCCGCACCAGCGAGGCCGTACTGGCGGTCGCCGGCATAACAGTCGCCCTCGGTGAAAATGCTTGTGGATTGAATGCAAGTTTCCTCACATTGGTTGCTGCAGGGATTGGAAAAGACTGTGTGGAATATCAAGTTGGTGGTAGATTGGGTCACTGCTGCGAGGTGGAGTAGGAAGACTGCCAAGCGATAATATGGTGGGTACACCATCACAGATTAGTCTGATATGCAGCAGAGTTGACCTGTTGCTGCAATCTTATTCCCCCGAGTGACGGAAAAGTCAGCCCGCACTTCTTGTTGCCTTTTGATTCTGTGTGATGACAGCTTTCCACTTCCAGGGCTGTCCAAGCTTCTTTGGTGCCAACGGTAGACTAGCTAGCTGGCTGGGTCGTGTGGCCGTGTGGCCGTTGCCACGTTGCCACCACCAATCCAAGAACATTCTAGCGGCTTCCGACGTTCTGGGCCTCACAGGAAGTATAATACACTGTACGGTACAGTATGATCAACATTATTTACTGGATGTCCCTGAGTATTCTGTTGACGAGATCAGCGAAGAACCGATCCCAACGCAACTTTTGAAACGGTCATTTCGGTCTTGGGGCACCTGGTGTCTGTAGGTGTACATGATGTACCGGTACCCCAAACTGGAAGTTAGGTACCGGAATGATGGATCCGAAGCCAGAGTGAGACAGCTATGATGCTTCTCCCTCACAATCTCACAAACACACATCTGATAATCTTGCAGCAATGAAAATCTTCGACAAACGAAAGTTGGAGGCTTTGTGTCAAAAAGCCCGAAAGCAGCTGGAGGATGCCAATTGCCAATACCGAGGAGGTAACCGATGCCACCTTTACCGAAAGTGACGTTGATGCTCGAGAATTCACAGGCACCTCCCGAACGTCTGCGGAAAGGGGAAAACTCGCTCTCCAACAGCAACACCAAGATGGATAACCAGTTGATTCCCCATGCCATTGAAATAGTGACAAATGTGATCCAAGCCGACAGCGACAACCAAATACAAACCCCGTGAGCCTACGGTACTGGGGGTTGCACTGATGGAGGAAGCATTGGGGGTGCCAGTGGTGGAGGCGGCTGGTTCAAGTGGAACCAAAAACCTCGCGAAGCACCTACCGTACGGTTCCAATACCCCAACATCAAAGAAAACTTGGAGCAAACCAACCATCAAGTCTTTCACACCCAGCTACACGCCAACCTACAATTATGGTGCCTACAATTATGGTGCAAGCTGCGATTACGGTGGTGGGACTGGTGGAACCGGAGACTGTGGGTGCGTCGATTGATTGATGCGTCGACTTCGTTTTCGGCGTCTACGATAGACCCATCCTGCACCAAATCGCCCAAGTGTTTGCTCACAATTGAAAATGGATTCATAATTGATTTTTTTAGATTGCTTTCTAGTTTTGTTGGTGAATCGTATGTTACCTTGGCTGGATAGTCCCCCCTTAGATACTAGTCGCGTTGTAAGCATCCATCTTTCACCAATTTTTACTAGCCAGCCAGTAGCCATGGCTGGCTGAGGAGCAGCTTCTTCTGTCATGGTTTGACTGTTCGGTTTGTCTGGGGCTGGTTCAAGTGGAACCAAAAACCTCGCGAAGCACCTACCGTACGGTTCCAATACCCCAACATCAAAGAAAACTTGGAGCAAACCAACCATCAAGTCTTTCACACCCAGCTACACGCCAACCTACAATTATGGTGCCTACAATTATGGTGCAAGCTGCGATTACGGTGGTGGGACTGGTGGAACCGGAGACTGTGGGTGCGTCGATTGATTGATGCGTCGACTTCGTTTTCGGCGTCTACGATAGACCCATCCTGCACCAAATCGCCCAAGTGTTTGCTCACAATTGAAAATGGATTCATCATTGATTTTTTTAGATTGCTTTCTAGTTTTGTTGGTGAATCGTATGTTACCTTGGCTGGATAGTCCGCCCTTAGATACTAGTCGCGTTGTAAGCATTCATCTTTCACCAATTTTTACTAGCTAGCTAGTAGCCATGGCTGGCTGAGGAGCAGCTTCTTCTGTCATGGTTTGACTGTTCGGTTTGTCTGGGACTTACAGGAAGTGTGATCGTCCTGCCTGTCCCTATTCTGTCGGCATCAAAGATTCTTCCTCTCGCACGAAGTACAGACATGGAAGGAGAAGGCGTGACAGAAATCCAAACAGGAAAAACTCTCACAAAATCAATCTCGGAGCCAACAGAAGCTCCTCCTCTCCACACTGCAGCAGCAAGATAACAGAAGCACAACAATTCACAATGGCGCTCAACGGCTACGTCTTTTGCATCACTGGGGAGCTATCCATGCGTCGAGAAGAGTTCCTTTCCATTCTCGAGAACGCGGGAGCCGAAACCAAGTCCAGCATCAGCAGCAAGGTCACGCACCTCATTTGCAGCGACACAAGCAATCAAAAGTATGCCAAAGCCATATCCTTGGGAATTCCCATTATCAGCGAACTTGCTACGATGGCGATCCTCAGTAGCGGTGGTGCCCAGAAGAAGCGGAGCAGTGAACAAGCCATGGGATATGCTGCTGAGGTGTCGAACAAGAAGATGCCTCCCGCGGGAGTTGGAGTTTTGTTCGACATGACGGCCGATAGCAATAACAACAATTCTTCGGGCAACCTGGCCGATGGTGAAACGGTCCAAGTTCCCAATAGCAAGGGAAATGGTTTCTACACGTAAGTGAAGTACGGTCATACGATTTTAACAGAAGTACGGTGGCGTGTTCCGAAACGAGCGGTCGACCAATGTTCGTCTCACAGCCCGTCTCTCTGTTATACACAGCATCAAGAATGTAGGAGGTACTTACTCGTGCTCGTGTCCTGCTTGGAAGAACCAAAAGTCGCCCATCAACGCCCGTACTTGCAAGCGCATCAAGGCGTTCCGCGGAGAACAGGCGGAACAACAGCGTTTGGGCAGTGTTCCGGTTACTACCACGGCCAGCAAGTCCAAGGCCGGCAAGTCCAAGGCGGCTACCACGGCAGCACCCAAGAGTGGCGGTTTGGTGCAGCCAGGCAAGTGGATACGATTGCTTTGTTACTGTGTATGTGTGCGAGATAGCTTCTGACCAGCATCGTTTTTTCAGGGAAGTGCATGCTGGCTCAAACCTGGAGCGATAATCGCAATGCGTCCGACTACATCCTATCCGAGAAGCTCGATGGGGTTCGAGCCATTTGGGATGGAACGCAGTTGTTGACTCGAAGCGGGATAGCCATGGATGCACCTGCCTATTTCATCCAAGGACTTCCCACCAACATGTCGCTCGATGGCGAACTCTTTGCTGGTCGAGGTAGGCACTATTTGTTCCGTGTTCCGGTTTTTCTTGGTTGTGTCTTGTCCCCCATCTAACCATGAATGTTTATGGTGATACCTCGCAATCGAATCGCTAGGTGTCGAGAACGTGAGTGTTTCGTTTGGTATCTGTTTGGACCGCGTTCCTGGCTTGGCCGTGTTGCCCTCACGATCGTTTTGTCGCGCCAACCACACTGCAGTTCAACCTCGCCTCAGGGATCATTCGCAGTTCTAATGGTGGAGACAAGTGGCGGGCACTCGCTTACGTAGGTACGAACGATCGATTACGGAATGCTTTCGCTGTGGAATATGGTCCATGTTAAGTCTCTCTGCTCACGCATTTGTAGTCTTCGATGCACCCAGCGCCCCGGGAGGATTCGAGCAACGCTTGGCTACTGCAAATAATGCTATTCTTGGCCACCAGTTCGCCAAGATCCATCAACACGCAGTGTGCCGCGACGAGGAACACCTCCAGCAAGAACTTGCTCGTGTCAAGGAGATGGGTGGAGAAGGAATCATGTAAGTACGACTTTGCGTGTTCTACAGATGATCCATCACGTCGTGAGAGATTGTCTAACAGTATTCTTTGAATCCCTTTGTTTGACTGCAGGATGCGCAAGAAAAACAGCGCTTACAAGTTCAGCCGTTCTGTGGACTTGCTCAAGGTCAAGTTCTTTGAAGATGATGAAGCTATTGTCGTTGGAGTCGAAGGAGGGAAAGGTAAGTACGAGGGACATATCGGCAAGCTCGTCTGTCGTTTCCGCAACGGCACGGAGTTCTTGGCTGGCACAGGTCTCAAGGACGCAGACCGCGCTCAAAGCAGTGCCTATTGGATTGGCAAGGTGGTCACCGTCCAGTATCAGGATCTATTCGAAAAGACAGGTCGGTGAATGAAATTGTGTCACGACGACGTCGCAATGGCAACACGCCACTCACAAATCCTCGCTTTTCCAGGCAAACCTCGTTGCCCCAGCATCAAAGGAATTCGCACCGACCTTGACGTGTTGGACTTTTCCTCGGCGATCATGCATGCCCTGCTGGACTGAGCAATCACCGCCTCAGTGACTTGAGCCCAGCTGAGGCTGTTCTTACGTGTGGTACTGTGACATACCGTACCACAGGAGAAAGAAAACAGGCCCCCAAAATACACGGAACCTATGCGTAGCCCCGAAGATAACTAAGAACTTCCCTACTCTACTTGCTAGTCCCCCATTGATTCACCATTGTGTTTCCTCCGCATAATTAGCATCACCACATGGATCGATCGCTTCGCCTCTAGCAACGCATCAAAACCTTCACCTCGTCCCTCAGGGAAGTTCCTAACCACAGAGGACACCTGTGCATCAGTCCTCAAGATCGCTCATATCTGGATCCGTGTTGCACAACACCAGCATTTTGGGGGGCACAACTGATTTGGGATGTTGCATCTCTCCAAACCCCGAACAAGAAGATTCGCAAAAAGACGCTTCTCCGCCACCTGGTAGCAGTTTTGTATCACATCGATAGGACCAGTTCACAGCAGCTTTGACAGCAAGTAGAAATGGATCCGGCACCGTGTTGCTTGGATTCTTTTGAAACGATAGCTTCGCCAGCTCCCCAACTTCCCGTTTCTGAAGTCTGAGAATAGGAGTGCCATCCTTCTCCAATTTCTCTTTGGTTGTCTCGAGTTGTGCCAACTCACTTCTCACTTCTTTTTTGAATTTTTTTGGCGCAATATTGGGTAGGTCTGTGAAATCGGAGGCTTGCAGCTCCATGGACAGCGCTTTCGTGAACGCCTCGAGCAACTGGAGTGCCGTTTCGGCCTCGCCTTCTGAACACGGAGTGGACCGAAGGACCTCATCTCTGAAGTCCAATCCCTCCTCCGACCGTCCAACTAGCACAAGAGCATCATAAGAGAGATCCCTGTCCTCTTTCTCCGTCCAGTCTTGCACCTCTGCATAATCAAGAATCGGGACCAGCACAAAATAGGGGTACTGATCGTACAGTTCCTTTTGTCTTGAGAACTGGCATTTGTTAAGAGCGTTGTGTTTCAAGCCAGTGTGATTGATCTTCCTGCCCCCTTTACCCAACACACCATGGATCATGGCTTGTTGGACGGTAGCGTTGGGAGCTGGTGTATCGGTCCCAAGCGCACACTTCATAACTGTCCCGTAAAACATCGCACTAGGTCCTGAACGAGGGAGAAAATGAGCCACATCACCACCGCTTCGACCAAGAATACAGCGCTTCTGGCGAGGATACAGGGAGCTTGAACCAGATGAATCGTTACTCTTGCGATCAACAACACCTTCAAAGGTATAACTTTTCTCCTTCTTAAAGATTTTTGGGGTCATTATCCGCAGTAAGGTTTTCACACATTTCATAGGTTTGACCTTCGCCGAATGATATGCTGGTTTGACATTTTGTTGGAGGTTCTGGAGGAGAATAGCCTCGGAATACGCGTCGTGCCTCAACGCTTTAGAGCGAACCCTTCCCAAATCGCACAGCGTCATTTCATCCTCCAAAGCCTTGACGGGGTCGACTCTGTGAAGAATCGATCATCATCAAGTAAGTGAAAAGGTGAATCAGGATCCACCACTGAATCATTATCGCCTTCCGAGAGCATACTAATGTTGAGTCCTTCATTTTCGTCTGTAGGCAACTGTCGACCCCGAGGGCATCTATGGCCTCTAAACCTTCATCATTCTTGTTACACCGTTGAAATGTTCCGCGTGTTCAGCAAACAGCAAAAATCTGGCTCGCCTTAGCCAGGCAGTTGTTGACGATAACATCGAGTGGTGGCGGTGAATGCCGCCGCTGCGAGTTGGAGTAGGAGTACCGGTAGGGGTAGGACGTGGTATCAGAGGCCTTGGATCAGTGTGGTGGTCCGCCGCTGCATGGATCAAGCCGGGAAGTAGTGCGCAATGATGTTGTGCCGAGTAGTCTAGTTGCTTATAGCTTGGCATAAAAATGTAGGTTGGTGGAGCTATTGGTGTCATGAATCATCAATCAGCTCGACCGTATCATACGCGCGAGCCTACTACAATGTACTGTAGTAGCTACTAGCTTTCTTCTAGCTAGAGTACCTTAGTTTGAATCTTACCGGCTTACCCGTACCATACATGTACCAGGTACATACCAGTACCAGGTACCGGTACTGGTACCAGTACCAGTACCGAGATGAAAACTGAGAGATCCCTTCGAAGGATGTTAAATTCGACTCGACTTATTTCGATAAAATTCGAAACAATCGAAAATTCATGAATGAAGTTACAGTCCCGTGTACCTCCTACCACTTACTCATTCGCCCTCACCCCACCTTTCTCATCTTCACCACAGCCGCAACGCGTTCCCTTGCTTTGCTTCTTGTCATCGTCGTTGTTATCGCAGTCGATCAAGTAAGTAGCACCATGGCGCAGTTGGGGAATGGCGTAGCCGGAGGACAATGGATAACTTCATCAATGTGCGGTATGGTCTAACCACTTCCTTCCCTTCCACTGTCTTTCCTTTCCTTTCCTTCTTAGGTTTTCATAGTATTGAAATATTGAACCATGGTGAATGTTCCAAAAGAGCGCAAAACTTACTGTGCTGGCAAGTGCAAGAAGCATGCCATACACAAGGTGACCCAGTACAAGGCTGGTAAGGCCAGTAACTTTGCACAAGGCAAGCGCCGATACGACTCCAAGCAAATGGGATTTGGAGGCCAAACCAAGCCCGTCTTCCACAAGAAGGCCAAGACCACAAGAAAGGTTGTCCTTCGTCTCGAATGTAAGAAGTGTAAGACCAAGAAGCAGCTGTGCTTGAAGAGGACCAAGCATTTCGAACTGGGAGCCAAGGCAGCACAATCGGGTCACCAGTACTAAACACTATAATATCACAATTAGCATCCCAGATGACTATAATAACACGGCAATTCAGAACTGCTTTCTGGTCTTTCTACAGCTGTTGGCTTGGATTTCGAAGGATGAAGCTGCCTTTAGATCTTCGGCTCAGGTGTCAGCGGAGTTATCGTTGCCTGAACGTAGACCCCTTGCTTCTGGTTGAGCTGTCGTTTCCTCGGAATCGTCGAGATGGCGAAGGCTACGCGTATTAGTATCTACAAACCGATACAGGGACTTCTCTCCCTGGCCACTATTTGGTCCAGGATGAAGCACGGTCTGTTTCGCCGTCAAGCCAAACAAAAAGGCTCCGTCATGTGCCTTGCAACGTTTGACCGGATCCATGACAATCAATCACACCACAGATCAGCACGTTGTTTGTCCGGTATCAATACTAATGCCAGCCATTAAATACGGTACTTGAGCTGCATTCATTGCATGGGTATTGAACAACTACATGTGCATATAGTTTCGACAAAGGCTCAGTTCCTATCAACGTGTTGGAAAGTCCTCTCATTGTCTAGCTAGATTATCATCACTTGCCCGCCTCGCTCCGTGTTGATATCAATGGCTAAACAACCGGTATCTTCCCTTTTGGACCCCTTCCCTGCCTTTCGATTGGGATTCCTTGGAGACAACCCCAATCAACAATCTGAGCGATGGGGCACGCTTCGGAACAACCAGTGTCCCCCAGCTAGCCGTCGTAGCATTCCCTTGACGTCGAGTCATTTCTGTCTTCTTGGCTCTCTTGTCGCCCTCCAATTGTTTCCCACTGACTTCCTCCCCTTCTCATTCTTCCTTGCACACTTTTCTCCCCCCCCCCCTTTTACTGCAATTGCCGCAACAACACAGGCCAAGTGTTTCAGTCTGTACGCGGGAGGTTCCAAAGGAGTCATCACGATGTTTTCTGCGGATGTGGAGGAGTGGAGTTGTATCCAAGGTCTACGTGGGCCGCAAAGTTTGGCATGAGGGCATTGGATTCGTAAAGGGCAGCGAGGATCTTGTCTCGGTATCGATCGCGTATTTCCGGATAGGACACCAAGTCGGCATCGGTTCCCTTGTGTTGAAACACTCCCAACAGTGGCGATCGGTAGTGGTACAAATCCACCTGGTTGGGATCCGTGTTGATGCTGCGGCCACCATCTCGTGCCAAGTGTACCCAGGCATCGTTGACCACCGCAGGGCGATAGAAACACTTGCGACGCCCTCCCGTGCTTCCCTTGGTTCGATTGAGTCGATAGGTAAAGTCGATGGTAAGCTGGAACTGGTCCGATGTGCTGGCATTCTCGTTCTTGTCCTGCAGTGGCTCTGTGAGTTTGTTCCGACCAAACGCCACTCCCTCCATGCATACTTGCCCCAGAGTGGCTGGATCCGAATCCTGGGCAAATGTTCGTTCGAGGTAAGCGGGAAGAGGAGCTTGGCTGTTGTTCACTAGTAGTTCAGGGTCCAGGACTGCCACGTATTCGTCCACGTCGGGAGTGTAAATCCAATCCAAGTCGTACTGTTTTGCCAAATACAAGCATTGATTGATGGCAGCTGCTTGGAACATGCTTTCTCCACCAAATTTCAAGGTAGCGTTGGGCCGTTTGTGTTGATGCCGTGCCCATGTATAATGATAGGGAATGTAGGTAACGTCCTGGTTGTTGTTGTGTGGTAGCTTGTGGTTGTTCCGGACGTTTTCAAATGGCTCGGATACAAAGAGCCAAAAGTGCTGCACTCCAATGAGACGATGATATTCAATCCACTCGGGCAGTAGATCGTGCTGTCCCCAAAATCGTGTGATGCAGGCCCCAACTTTGACATGCGGCGGTGGTTTGTGTCGTCGTTCCAAATTGCTGCACTGCAAGTACGGTTCCAGATGGTACGTGGTGTTCTGGAGTAGTTCGTCATTGTCCGGCCAAAGATACTTGGGAGTGGCCATTACTTGCTGCTGCGTGTGGTTGTTGTTGTTGTTGTTGTTGTCTGATGAGTAAGTATTGGTTGGAGGTAGATCCAAGCGGAGATACACTCGGTCATTCCTAGGTTGCTTCAACCGTTTGGTAAAGACAGGTGTTGCCGTGTGGTTGTTTCCCGAAGAGTCCTGCCACATCCACTCCATCCTGTTGAGCCTGGGAGCAAAGTAGTTGCCGATGCCAGTGTCAATGGTCAATAGTATGACCAGCCAGTACCGTTGGCCCGTGGACTTGTCGTTCATGGCCCAAATCCATTCCATCCAGGGAGCCTTGGAATCCATCCATCGATCAATGTTGGCATTCTGCCACGAGTCCAAGTCCAGGCGACACTGTGTGGCGGCTGAGATATTATTGGCGGCAGCACTGTCGCTTGGTCCATCTTCTTGTCCTGTCCTTACCATCATGATTCTTCTATCGACGGCATCAATACTGCCCGAGTACTTTGCTCGTTCCAGGAAACCATTGAAGATTCGAATGTTGGCTGCGACAATGAGGACCGCGAGCAAAGCTGGCGGCGAAATGAGACGAACGGTTCGACCAAACGACATGGTTCCAAGTCAGAAGTCAAGTAGTAATGATGGATTCGACTCGGATCCATTGAGGCCGAGAGGTTGTGAAGACAACATGAAACTCTTGTGCAAAGCATGTGGAGGCCTCACACGTGAATAATATCATCGAGCGATCGATCGAGCTGTCCGAGACGCCTTCTTAATGATGGCAAAAATGACCCCAAAAAGAGAGCAATGGTGCCGTACATCTATCTCGATATCTCGTTAGTTGGCTTCCGTGGATAACCTCCCTAATGGTACCGATACTCTACGCCTGTAAACCCCCTTATTACAGCTTGTCGGCTAAAACAGGTTACAGTAAGAAGTAGGAATACTATGACCAAAGCAATCACCTCGTCGATAAGATACTTCTGTTGTGCAAACCTAACTTCTTCATCAACAGCAATGACTGTCCACTGAGTCCAATCTCATTATCTTTCATATCTTTTAGCCACTAGCTAGCAGCTATTGTCACATACCCTATGACTAACCATGTCCTCAGACAGTGAGGAGCCACCACCAAAGCACAAGAAGGCAAAGGTCCAAAGCCAAAATTGAGCGAGGAAACCAAGGATGTTGTGGGATAGGGGGATCTGGAGGACTTGGATGTAGATGGTGATGTGGAAGATAGTGGGTACCAGCTGCCCTCACTCTTCACATAGAAGTAGTATTAACTTAGGATTTGAGACGTTGGTACTCGTAGCTTATCTTATTGGTTTGGGAAATCTGAGTGTCTAGCTAGCTAAATACAGTAGGTTATCTTTTAAAAGACTTCTGAAAATCTGAGTGCTATGAAATTTAAACGTACTTATCTTAATAAAAGTATGAGTGAGGAGTGTAGATTGTACTAAAAACTATCAGGTCGGGACGCTGGGACCTGTCTACCAGTTCACTTGGAGCAGCTCTTGTACGTACATGTACAATTATTGTAGCTGACACGCGACGCCTGGTTGACACTTTTTCACTCGAAAGGGATCGAATCGAGTCAGTCGAGTCGAGTCACAGTACTTCTCCAATCGCGGCCACATGTCGTGGCGCCACACGTACACCACTGCCACCCGCATTCTACCGTACTAGTACTATGAGTAGTGGCGGAAGACATGGGCATTTCAACTCTGGCCCTCTAGCTAGCTAGTTGGACTGTCATCTACATACGGCTACACCTCATTGTGCCGTGTTGGAACGATAGTCCTAGAGTTGGGGAAAAGTGTGGGATTGGTGCGATCTAGTGCATCCAAAGCTGTTGGAACCCAAACACTGAACTGAGCGGCCAGCCAGCCAGGGTGGGTATCTCGCGAAGAGGCAACATTGTCATCTTCCTTGGTCGGCTGCTCGGAGCAGCTTGCTCTGGATTGGCTCTTGCTGGTTTTTCTCGCCTTTGCAGTAGTAGGTATCCCTAGCTCTGCCGGTACCGGTATCTCGCAGTGGCAGTCTAAGCCAGGAGCATGCGCGAGTCCCCTACATTGCTACCCATGCATTAGTCTAGCTAGCTAGTATTAATGGTGTACTGGTATGTCGTTCTCTTTGCATTCGCCCATCGTAGCCGAGAGCAGAACAATCCGGCTGTCCCTTGCCATCACGAACCAACTCCACGGCAAGAATCAACACCGGTACATTGGCCAAACTAGCAAGGATTGCAAAAGATCTCTCCATTAGCAGTTGATTTGAGTTGGCCACGACTTCATGACATGTTCCGAAGGAAGCAATCGTACGAAGTGTTAGGTCTTGGTTGGGAGGGGTTTTGATGGTTTCCGTGAGGTGCGGCTTGTGTTACTTTATTACGGGACCGCCGCCAACAGCAAGACTGCGCTAGATCGACGAGGACCTTCCCACTTTGTGAAGGGAGCCCGCCCTGATTTCTTTCATCTCTGCAAGTGCTCTCCTACATTGTTTGTCCCTTTGACTTACAAGAATGTGCTCGGCCGGAAGCAAGATTCCAACTTGAATCGGAAGTGCACGTCACACCGACATCATCAATTTAAGTTTTTGGCAACCCGTTGGAGGCGCAGCCAAACGACACAGAAAAAGGGCTCACAAATCAGCACGAACCAGCGGAGGAAAAAGGACACCAAAACCGTTGCACCGCAAACTCTTTCATACTTTACACAAAACAAAAAACAAAAACAAAACAAAATGATGATCAAGATTAACTCGCTCCTACTACTCGGGTCTCTCCTTGTCGGCTCTACCGCTGCTGCGGGGGTCAAAGGAATGCACTCTCCTCCAAGCACTCGAGGCAGACAATTGAAGAAGAAATTCGGAGGCCCCAACGCGCGAGACTGTGAATTCTGTAAGTGGAATGACTGTGTTGGGTGTTGTAATGCTTTGCTTTGCTTGTTGTCTTTGTCAAACTCATCGATTTTTTCTGTGTCTAATGAATTTCCACAGCCGACAAGAAAGATACGGTGGAGTTTGAATGCCGCTCCAAGATTGGTGGTCCCACCAAAGGCAAGGATTCGAAGGATTCGACTGACGACGGAGCCACAGCCCGTGGTATTTCGATTGTGCCCGACTTGGAAATCAAAGACAAAATCAAGTATCAGGTCAAGACCACCCGAGATGGGATTCGCGTCAAGTTGGAATACAAGAACGAAGTCAATGGCCAAGACAATTCGCCTAGCATTCCGGTGCTAGATGGAGAGGAAGACCCAGTCGCAATTTCCAGAACCGAGACGGAAACCAAAACCAAATTTGAACTCAATTTCATGAGTCTGGTGGAATATGTCAAGGGGAACGATACCGACGTAGAGAGTGAAACAGAAGCCTACAACTGGGACTCGGATGAAATTCTACAAACCATTCCCTTGACTCGTTGGGATGATATCTCTGATGTCATGAATGACGATGTGGGAGTTGTTTCTTACTTTACAGCTACTTCGGAAGCATTGGGCGACGATGGAGGAGTCGTCACCTTTAATTTTACCATTGCACGTGCTGATCAGGGAGACCACATCAGTGCCAACAGCATGAAGATTGATGTTCGCATTGTCGACTTTCCTTGGCTACAAACGGACTCCTCCTACATTGCCTTGATGAGCACCTTTGAATCCCAAAAGAAGGTCAAGGTCAAGTACGATGAAAAAGCCAAAGTTTCCGAGGGAGGAAGGGCCAAACGGGCAAAGGACATTTCCATCTCTTTCAATGATGAAGATTTGGAAGACACCTTGGGTTTTACTGCCTATGGACAATACACATGGGAAGAGGATGCCAAGGTCAGCAGATCTATGACGGAACTAGACACAATGACGTCACGACAAGGCACGGAGAATATGACTGAAACGATGGAAGACACGGACACAATTCAGGTCGTTGCTACGTCTCCTACTGATGTTGGCACTGAAACATACCAGAGCATTGCCTATTCATTTGTGGGATCCGAAGCTCAAGGCGCTGCTGACATCTTTTGGGACCCTACAACTGGAATTTCCTACGAAACCTCTTCTGCTTTGGGAGGAATGGCTCGATTGGTGGGTGCTGGGCTCGTTGGAACCATTACGCTACTAGCAGCATGGTAAAGAAGGGGTTCGTACCGGTATGCAAGAAGGTCCAGTCCCCTGATGATGTGTATAGATTGATACATCTCGGTGGTACCGGGAGGTAGAAGCCTGTGCCATTCTTATGCCTGGTTCCCCAAGTCCGTGAGTTTGTGGACGAAACCAATGCAATTGCATCCATTCCTACATTTTAGTATAATGTATTGTAGATATTTTAAAAAGGAGGTTGCCGCAAACAATCAGAAGTGTAGCATAGCACCCGTTTGTAGCCAATGACCGCCATCAGCTATGACACCAACTTTTTTTTTTGGATCTATAGGAGGATGGCTACCACGAAACTCAACCTCCTGCATGCCGGTAGGTCCTTTCGACTCCTTTCAGATGGCAGCTCCAGCCAAAGAAGCAGCTTCGTGCCTCATCCCAGTGCATGTACATGTACTAGTAGTGACAGAAGCGAAGGTGGACCACTTCCGCCATCACGTAAAAGAGAAGCTTTTGGCAGCCCAAGTTCCAGTGAGCTACACAAGGAACAAATCCACATACAATGCACGCGGGGCTGCTCCATGGGATTAGAGGCTCTGGTTGTGCGGTAATCGAAGCCTTAGCATTTTGCTGGTGTCAAAAAAATGCGAAGCATCCTTCCTCCGGAAGCAAACGACACAGTTGAGAACACAGCCATTGCGAACGCCGCTCATCGGTTCACTCAGCTTGCAACTCACCCTTCGGAGCTCACAAAATCAAGAGCTTTCAAGTCAAGGTCCTCAGTCATCGTTTTTAAAAGATCCAAAGCAAAAAACAACACAACCATGTCCTCCTCCCATCGCACCTTGGGGCAAAAGATCATGCACTTCCTCTTCCACTCGCCAACAGAGAGTGATTTGGGCCTGCCTCCTCCGAAGGAGCATCTGACAAAGTCACAAGCTATGGAGAAAATTGAATACGCTTGGGACCATCCCTTGCATCCTCAGAAGAAAGAAGAAAGTCCAAAGGAATCCGAGCATCATGAACATCATGAGCATAACCACAAGACTATGGGACAGAAGATTTCGCACCTCCTTTTCGATGTGCCCCATGACAGCGACTTGGGTGTTCCTCCTCCGAAGAAACAAATGTCTAAAGAGGAGGCCCTGAAGTTAATTGAGTATGCTTGGGACCATCCAATGCACCCTCAGAAAGATGAGCATCCCAAGAAGGCTAAGAATGTTGAACATGAAAAACATCACCACGAGGACAGCCACGAGGACAGCCACGAGGACAGCCACGAGGACAGCCACGAGACCTTGGGACAAAGGGTGTCCCACTATTTGTTCGATGCCCCTCATGACAGCGATCTTGGTCTCCCTCCTCCGAAGCAACAGCTTTCAAAGGAAGAAGCTCTCAAAGCAATTGACCATGCCTGGGAGCACCCTTTCAACCCCAAAGCTGTGGCACAGCACTAGTCAAGCAAGACCATGCAAGAGGCGAGAGTGCAAATGGCACGTACGATGCTTCGCTGGGGTGTCCTCAGATGAAATTGTGCGCATGTTTGACTTCCTTCTGTGATGATGTTGTGAAATTGATACTAGTACTTGTATGTACCATAGTAACACTACTAGCAATCAAAACTATCCTCTTCCCCTAAGCTTGACCCAATACTAGCTAGCTTCGTGCACTCCGATGTAGCCAGCTAGCCAACGAAAGCAGATTTGGCTGGTGGAAGCATCGAATTTCGATTAGTGCCAATTGACCATTAGATTCTGAAGTAGGTCATCAGTCTTGGGGAGGGGCTCTGGATCAGACCGTTTCACAAGCACACTTCTTATCCAGGGGTGCATGTGGCAGTGACTGACTATGGCCACCAGAGGAAATTTGACATTTCTTATTTCATTCCTGTTTCAATAGCTGGGAGGCACCCGCTCTAGTCAAGCTGAACTGGCTAGCTGGATGGGGGATACCCCGCCTTCTTTGTCAGAGACTCAGAGGGCATGAGATCCTCCAGCAAGGTATCCACAGTTGCGGGGTCCGGTGGATCATCCTCACGCAATGGTTCGCCCTGCTGTTCTCTCGCTCCTCCTCCAACTCCACCGCCACTGTAAGAGTCACCGTTGGCACATCCAGGAGGATACCATATTCTCATCTCCACGGGAAGAATGCAAATGTCCAAACGTTTGGCTGCTCCCGCTACCGCCACCAAAAACTCGGCCCGTAGTTGATTGGCATCGTATTTCATGACAGGATAAAAAATGACCTCCAACGCCTGTCCTTCAGATCGCATCTTGGCCACACTCTTGATGTAGTTTTCCTTGTCAATCCCCGGATGGGCATCAATCCATCGCTTGAGAAAGGATGCCAACTGTGCCAAGGGCACGGCAGCGTCTACTAGTCCCAATTGGACATGAAGGCAAAAATGACACGTCTTGGTCGGTCGTCGTGACCAATTGGTCAAAACCAAATCCCGGAATTCCGAATGGGGGATGTGAACCTGTTTTCGAGTAAAGTCACGTACCACGACATGGCCCAAGGTGATGCCTTCCACAAAGCCTGTGATGAACTGAGATAAGTCATATGAAACAGCAAATAGTACATGGCATGCAAGGGTGTGAGAGAAGTCGAGGCAGACAATTGGGAGTAAATGTATGTGTCTTACGCACTTCTTTGGGGTCATTCCCTGGCTTGAACCCCGGTCTTGTGACGGAAATGATTTCTCCGACATGAATGCTATTGCTGAGTACCAGTGGTACCAGACTGCCCACGGCTTCGCCAAGATGGAGGGCGGTCAAGACAACGGTAAAAAGGACGGAAAGGCCCACTACCACAATGTTTTCATAGAGGTCCACCCCGATAAAGTACAAGAGCAGCAAAAAGAGACCAACAAATTCTCCCAACAAGACGTAAATGCCAAGGACATTGGCCAAGACTCGGGCAGGACTGTGAGGATGTCGACTGTGAATGCCACCGGGAATGCCATGAATGACGTCCACTTCCAAATCTTGAAACGAGGAGCTGTAGGAAACGATGGATCGTAGCTTGGAGAGCTTTTGATTGTTTTGAAGAATATTTTCGACACGATCCGCATACCCATGGGCTCCATCATGAAGACCTTCGAGGAAGGAGATCCATCCCACCAGGAGGGTGAATCCCATGGACAGATTCAACAATCGGATTGTATTTTCTTGAAACTCTTCCCTGATGACGGTGCTGGCTATCAGTTTGAGATAGGTAATTATAATGATGATTGTCAATAATCCAGCAGCCCAATTGATTTGGAACATGCTTTTCCAGACATTGGGGTTTTCCGGTTGAATGATTTGTTGTCTTTTTGGTCTTTTACTCAGTCGAAGAGCGCTAGAACCACCAGCGTTCTTTTTCTCATTCTCATCTTCACCGTCACGATCTCGATGTCGGTGGCCATTCAAGAGGATCACGGCGTGGACAGAAACATGAAAGAACGCCCAGTTTAAGAACATGAACATGGGCGGCATGGCAAAGGCCGCACGGACCAGACTGTACTTCATATCATCGGTGAGACCTTGGAAGAGTCCAACGTTGTTGCTCTGGCGAAAAATAAATTCCGGCACAACGATACTCAAGAAGAATAGGACGAGAGTAATGGTCAAAGGTCCCAAGCCCACCAAACCTTGTCGTTGTTCCGTCGCTTGGTCGTTCTGAAGATGTTCTTCAAAGACGACATCGGGAAAATTGGCGCCCAAGGGTAAGAGTCTCGCTGTTTCTTCCTTGCTTGGTGGTTCTTCATGGTCAAAAATCTCTTCATGCTCCTCGCGTTTGCTATCAGTCTTGATCATGGTGACTACAGAACATCTTGCTTTGCTGCCGCCTTCTTCAGCACGGTCGGTTCGGGGGAACGAGTGTACTAGCTAATGTAAGGCCGGTGGCCGTGCAGTCAAGAACGGAAGAGAAAGATCGTTGGATCTTTTCGAATGATCACTCGAAGACGAACACCTCCCCACCTTTAGAAACCCTCCGATGTAAATAATAAAGCCAGCAGGCTGGCAGTCGAGGCTCGGTTTGAATTACCGAACTAGAACCCCGTTTGTCGTGGTAATCTGGATCCTCGACTGGGTGGAGCGCATGAGTGTCTGATGGGGAACAAAATTTTGGCTACAGTATCAACCATTCAGTTCTTCGATCCCTGTGCAGAGAGCTCACAAAACAAACAACAAACAAATAACACTGGTATCATAACATGCGATCGTTGAACTCATCTTTTATTGGAAAATCTGTGGCGGTCTGGCCGGTCTTCCTGGCATTGGTGCAGGCTTACGAACGAGACGACGATGATAAGAGATGCCTCGAGAGCGACGGCTGCCGTATGACGGTCGGGTTCTTCTTGCTTCTTGTGTTACCACTGTTGATATGCTGGAATGAGCACACACATACACGCCTAGCCAAACTGTACAAGGTTGCCAAGCAGCACATTCGCAACATCACTGCACCACCAGGAAACGGATACGAATTTGATGCACCCGTCCCACCATTCGTTTCAGACGGTGAATTCGTCTGTTGCTCTGGACTGCTTGGAGGGGCTGAACTTTTGCAGGATAACTTGTTCCCCACCATCAAGGTGGAAAGCGCCTTGTTGTTGAAACGAGAGATAGAAATCTATCAGTACCGGGAATACAAAAGCGACAATAGTACAATGGAGATCGAGGAGGTGTGGTCTTCAAAGCCTCTTCCTGACCCCCGAAAGCACAAGGACAAGAAGAATCCAGTGGGAAACTGGAACATTTTCTCAGCTTCTGAAACGGTGGACACAGGCGACACTTTTCAGGGCGAAAAGATCGAGTTTGGTGACAATTTGGTCGTACAAAGGGCTTCCAACCCTGTTCTCGAGGCCCCGCTCCCTCTGTCCGTTCCCACGGCCCTCGTTGACGAAGCCTTCTTTCCGACACGCAATGTCTATCGGCTTCGAGAGTTTGGGCGGTTGAAAGACTTTCAGGGCACCTGGCAAGAAAAGTTTGTTCCAGCTGGTCCTGTCACCGTAAATAAGGAGACATACGGCAACCTTGTGTTCCCTCCGGAGTGCTTTGCAATGGGCAAGTACGTTTACGACGGAGATCCAGACACTGTGGGCACCATTCGCATGAGCTGGGCTTATGCCTTGCCTCAAGACATGACCGTGGCAGCAGAACTTGTGGAACCGGGACGGGAGTGCTTGGCAAGCTACGGTTGCAAACTCCATCGTATGAACCGGGGCGGACTTCTCGGCGTGCTTGGCAAGGTTGGTACCATAAAGAAGGAACTATTGGAGGGAGAAAGTGCGCCGCTCATGTCGAAGTCAGACATGCACACAAATTTCGACATGTGGACTCTGACTCCATTTCAAGTCACGGGCACATCTGTTGCTGCTTGCGGAGAGGAAAAGTTCTTGGGCCAGCTTTGGATGATTGCACCAGGCCTGATGAACGCACAACAGCTTTTTTCGCGAGCGAGTTGGGCCAACGACAAGTCGTTGTTCGCTTACCGAGCCCTTACTCATGTCTTGTTGTATGTGGGGTGGATGCTGATCTTGTCGACGCCTGTGAGGATGGTCTTTGGGACTGGAGTAGTTGCGTCGGTCCTCTCTGCTGGGTTAATGGTCGTGGGCTTTGTTCTGGCGACCTCTTGCTGGGTGACCGTATCAGCTCTAGCCTGTTGCACGGCACGTCCCTTGCGTTCCACTCTTCTGGTCGCCACGGTTCTTGTGTTTCTTTACGTTTCTGGAAAGCACCATGTGACCGCTTCGGAATAGCAGGAAAAGGTCTCATTATCATTCATTAGCTAGGAATGTCCTGGTAGTTGTATTAGCTGTTATAACCACCATTGATTTTTGCTTGGGTTTGTCTATAATGCACAGGCTGCATGTCGTTGCCGCGCAGAAACATGAAACAACCAACTATGTATTCCAAAACCATCCCTTCCGTTTTGAATAGCACAAGCCAACCATCCCAAGCAAAAAAGCTGACAAACTAGTTGGTCGAGCAGTACATGTATGTCGTGGCCAATTAATTACTGTTGTGGCAGTCTTTCAAAGTGAATATTCTTCCATCCGTCTTTGCCTTGATGAGACCATATACGTTTTTCTTGCACCGTAATGCCCTCCTCCTCCTTATCACTGTTATTCTGAATGACCCGATCATATGTCACGGCCACTTTGGTACCTGAAATGAACTGGATTTTTGCATTCGACAGTGGTCCGGCAACACCACCTTCTTGTCGCGTCATGACTTGTTGTGCCGTTTCCTTTTCGGTCGCAAACCATTCATTGGTACAGAGTGATCGATACAATTCCACATTTTGTGTTTGAATGGCTTGTAAGAGCCGCGATTGTGCCGTCAAGACATCGTACGAGATGATTTGATTCATGGCCGTTTGGGTCTCTTTCCACACCGCTTCAATGGATTGATCGCCTCGAATATCAAACACATCCAACGCGGGTCGCTTGTTCTTGTCGAGCAGTGTCTGTACGCACCGCAGCGTCTCCACCACGGGGACGGTATCCCGTTCAAATGTGGCGAATCGCTTCCGAGCACTTTGTAGATTGTCATCGGATCGTCCCGAACCTTCGGCGGCTCGTTGCAGAATGCGTCGTTCCAGTTCGTCCAATGGACACTGGTAGTTGAGTACGCCCCAGACGGTGGCTACTTTTTCGTTGGTCATGCACCGGATCCATCCATCCAAATTGTCGTAATTGCGGGGGAATCCATCCACGAGAAAAATGAGATCCTCACCAAATTGATTGGCGGCGGCCGCCATGGCATTCTGTAAGAGCGTGAGGGATATTTCGACGGGAACAATATTTCCCGAAACGAGACAATTTTCAATCAATTCCCTGTGGGGAGATTCTTCCTTTTTGGTTTCAGCTCGAAGCAAGTCCCCGGCGGATAAATGGACACATGGATAGTTGGCTTTGATCAGGTCCGATTGAGTGCCTTTTCCTGAATTATATTACCGTATTATTGACAAATAAATATAAGTGTGAGATGATATCGATATCATAGATTGCTGTTACTGCTGCTGCTGATTTTTGTATGGTACGTACCTGCCCCTGGCCCACCCAGTACAAACAATACTCTGAATTCGTTGCAGTCCGTGGTATCCAAATAGGGAAGGGAAGCGTCGTCATTGAACAATGCAGATTGAACCGAAGATCCCACAATGGACATACTGGCTAGTGTGTGATCTGGTTGCTCTTCATCTTCATTGCTGTCATTGCTGTCACTACTGGCATCGGAACTGGTGGTCGATGATTCGGCAGTTTGTGAAAGAGTGGCCGCCAAACTGGTACTGGTAGTAGCACTCGATAAAAATGCCGGCTGTGAGATACCACCTCCTCGCACTTGCAGCAGACTGACTGGATTGGTAGACTTTGCTGCAATGACAATCCTTCCACCACCAATGGCTCTGGAGGAAATTGTCCCCACCACAAAGGCAGCCGTGCGTTGTAGGAATATTCCGCCAGGCATCATGGTCATGACAGCCAGGAACCAAAGGGAATGGTAGAATTTCATAGATGAAGTAGATAGAAGATAAAGTACGGTAGTTTAGTAGATTGGAGTAGGTTGGATTGGATTCAAACAAAGCCAAGGACAATCAATACTCAATAGTACTATTAATACAACTCTACCGTGTCGAACAGTGTTGTTTTGTTCTTCCAAAGAGCTTTTGCTTCAAGCCTTCAAGACCATCAAGACGATGAAATTGGCGTTGTTGGTTGGACACTTCCACACTTCAACCTCATCGATCTTCTCATCGCTGACGTCAGTGATGTGACAAAACAGCTTTGGGACTCAAATCTTCGCGCTGGATCTTTTGGGTTCCAAACCTTCCGAAAGCAACACAACCACAAAACCATCCCCACAAACACGCTCTGACCTCCAAAGCGCACAACCCAGGCCGTCCAAAGAGAGATAAACGAAGAGAGAGAAAACCATGGACTCGACTACTCCTACGGCTGATTCTTCTGCCCCCTCAGCAGCACCTGCAGTAGCCCCAGCCCCATCCAAGCAAACGGGAATTGACATTCAACAAGCCCTGGACATTTTGTCGGACCGTTCACCGCACGATCACTCCGGTTGTCACGCTCATCAGACGGACCAACTCAAGTCCATGGGTCAAACCATTGATCTCAATAATAATTCGACAAGCGAACAAAACAACAACAACAACAATGAAAATGATGATCCCGACCAAAAGCAACAACAAGAACTGGAGGATTTGGAGCAGCGACGAAAGGAACGAGCCGCTCAGTTACAAGAAGAATTGAAATCCATGACGGTCAAGGAATTACTACAGACAGTGCTCGAGACTCAACAGCAACGAGTCGCCACGTATCAAGGATACAATCAGTGAGTTACTCAAATGACACAAAGAAAAGAGCCAAAGAAGACACAACCTCAGAACTATTTGGTTGTGAATTGGAGGATTCTGACCTTTTTTCTTCTTTTTTTCTTCTACAGAAGCCTCACCCAAGTGCTACAAAGTGCCAATATGACGGCCTACATGAGCAGTTGCGCCCATACCACGGCGGCATTTGCCGTCCTCAGCGACACGATAAGGGCCGTTCGACAAGCACTTCCTCCAAAATTAGCCAAATTAATCACCAATCTACAACAACACGAACAACAAAAATTGCATCTCACGGCGGCGTGGCATTTGGAACGCATTCGAGAACGAAATGAAAACATGATACACGACACTAATAGTGGGGACAAGAGAATTGCCAAGTTGCTCAACCAAGGAGTCCAATCGTTGCAGCAGCAACTCCAGGAATGTGTGGAAGAAATCAATGAATGTATAGAAGAAATTCGATATGCCATGATGGAAGAAGAAGACAATGAACAAGAATAAAGAAAACATTGTAATCTACAACTTGCCCTCTACTAGTAGTACTTGAGCCAAAATGTATGTAGTCCCTCGTGCCTGACAGAACACAGCCACGTTTCGGCAAGCATGACGCATGTAGCTTAGTGTGCGTTCTACAAAGTAGCTAGTAGCTAGCTAGCTCTATAAACGTAAAGAAGTTGAACAAGCCATCAAAGATTGGCAGCGCAGTGTTAGCGAAGGGCACTACAAACGAAATATCAAGTTAGGAACAAAAGCCAAGCAGTTATTTATTCTACGTCGCCGCTGCTGTCTGTCTCAACAAAGGCATCCTCCAATGAAAAATTCCTTTCATTGTCAAATCTCCTTCTGATCAGTTCTTCCAATTTCTGACAAAGCCTGGCTACGGCTACTTCCTCACTTGGTATGTTGTATATCCTGTCAAGCCTGCCACAAGGAAATTTACACCCAACTCGAATCTTTGACCTGAATTCTTCTCGGAGGGCAGGTTTTATCGTAGAAATCATAGCATTCTACAGTAGGATGTGAACACATATCTGACAACAGTTAGAAATCCACTTGCCACTAGAAGGAAGAAACGATTGTGAAATGCAACCTCTGATACTTACAAAAAGAATGGATGTGTTGAAAAACCTGACTGCACGATGCTTGATTGGATAAACGTTCCAAGCACCACTTGCGACGGAGCGAATAACATGTCTGTCAAACACCATGCTGACCTGAAATGAATATCCCTCACATTCTAACAATGATGTGGTCCCAGCTTGAACTGCCTTCAAGTCAGGACACAGCAGCTGTGACAAATAGTAGGTTCTCTGCATTACCCCACGGATGGAATCATGGGATTTGAAGAGGTTCATGTTGAATTTTGGAGCATCATATGCAATAATGTAGCCCCCATGCTGAAGATCCAAATCAACAGAGAGAAGAAACCTATCCTTGACTTGATCTGGAATATGCCTTAATGAGTCCTCCAGAGTATCTAGAACAGCATACCTTTTCTTGTACTTTTGCAGCTGATAGGCATTTTGCACCGCCCATTCAAGGTCGCCCTGTCCAACAATAGCCAGCTGAGCATACATCATGTCTGACAAATTGTCAAGATCTGGGGTGCTTTCAATGGTGTGCTTGATGGTCAAAGCCTGTTGGTGCTCCCCAGGAGTAATTTGCATCCTTCCTGAGTCATATTGACTGGCGAGTTGCTGTGTTGCACGGTGGAGTGCCTCTGTGGTACTGCTGTCATGATCCATAGAGGATGCAAATTGCTGTGATTGCTGTTGTTGATGCTGGTGTGTGTCAGTATCAGTTGTGCTACTCTGACTGTCTGATGGTTCGTCATCATCGCTTGGCTCTCCATCTTTATCAAGCTGCTCTGGAGAAGTGCGGTTCACATTCAGAGCCTGATCTGGGATAACAACTAGGGTGCCTATCAAATCCTGTGCATCAGGTTCAGGTTCATACACATCATGCTCAGAGTTGCTCTCGGCATCATGTTCAAAAGGCGTTCTCTGGTGGTTTTGGCCCTCTGACATTTCTGTTGGGATGGTTTATGAAGGGTCTACTGAACAATTTCAATAGATTTCCAGTGTGCTTCCGCTTGGGCAGGATGTTGCCAGGTTTGCCCCTTCAAATTTACGTAGATGTACGTCGGGCACCTTGAGTCCGATCCTGTAATAGTGATCACTCTACCATGCTACTGATAGCTCCGACTTCGTGAAGCCTCTGCTTCTTCACCGGGCAACAGTGATACCGATACCTTCTTTCAAAGTTCGACGAAAGCGGTAGGAATTGTTGGAAGTGTGTGGTCGCGTTGGCGGTATTGCACAAGGACCATAGGAAGCCAGTATAGTTGTGAAAAAACTCGTACCCTTCAACCTCTACCAAGGGGAGGACCGGGCAAGAGTAAAGAGCAATCAGCTTTACTCCAGGGGATGATGGTACGGAGAGCTGAGCTGTTAGCTCTAGCTACTGAAAGAAAGGACCGAGTTGAGTCAAAACAAAGCTGAGACAGGAGGAAAGCAAGGTTTGTTGCCAAAATTTGCGACGTACGAGTTGACTTGTTGAGCCAGATCACGGGCTCGCATTCCCTTTTGGTTGTTTCGTAAGATTCTCAAAATAGAGACTGTGGTGAAACTATTTGAGGTGAAGAGCGCCAATTGGAGCTCTTCACCACCTCAATGAATTTACAGTAGACTTAGATGTGCTGTGATTAAAAGCTTACTCCTTCTCGAGCTCGTCCCCGGGCGCGTATTCCGCTGCCACTTCAATGTCACCCTCCTCTTCGTCCTCTCCTTTCCCTCCTTCAGTCGTTTTACCTGCTTGCTTTTTCTGGTGATTGGCATATGCCGCATATCCTCCAAGACTACAGAGTCCACAGGACGCGATCAAAAGAGGAATGGCCACCTGGGGACGGTAGGCAATCCACGCAATGGCCACCACCACGGACCAGCAGCAACATCCCAAGAGGCAATCCACCACCCACAAGGCATATCCAATCAAATCTCCCAGCAAGGGACCGACACAAGGAATGATATCTGGAATTTCCGTCAAGGGAGCTGTGATCATGACAAGTCCAACGATGCAGAGTAGCAGAGTGAGGAATCGCAGTGTCCATGTCAGACCGACGTTTTCGGCTTCCTTTTGGTCGAGCAATTGTACCGCTGTAAAATTTCCATCAGTTACTTCAAATAGGCCATAATCATTGTCATAGGATGATCCCCACATGATAAAGGTGTTGCCTCTTTGTAGCGCAAAAATAGAAACCGTGTCGGCCGTGCGAATCGTATAAGATCTCGTCAAGTAGTCGGTTGTTTGACCATTGCTATCTTGCTTTTGCCACACCATTTTGCTTCCCTGTAGAGACGCGCCACCGGGAGAGCAGACCAGAGAAGTGCCACTCGTCGTCGAAACAGGAGCAGTAGTGGTGGTGGATGATTGCAATTCACGCCGAGTGCCCGTTGAGTTTGTGGTTGACGGAGCTGCGGTTGTGGCCGGAGCCGCAGTTGTGGCTGGGGTAGTTGTAGTTGCTGGAGCTGTAGTTGTTGTTGTTGTTGTGGTGCCGCCGGCATTGGAACTGGAGCAAGCAGGAGTAAGCACCTTGGAATCCCCCAATCGACCTGTTTTGCTGTCGGGCACGATGTAGTCCCCGGCCTTGACATTGGTCGCCGTTTGGATATTCTTATTTCCCAAACCGTATCCCGACAAGGACCACCAAGATTCTCGCTGTGGATCCCAATTGAGACAGACATTGTTGTTGTTTTGGGTTTGGCAAGAGGCGCCGCCTTTGTGAAAATTGCTGACAACTGAGGGCGCGCTGAAGCCCCAAGTTCGATTGTACGTGTGCGTCTTGACGGTGGTGCTTCCTCCGCCTACCTTGTCGTCCGTGGTCTTGGACTTGACAACTTCTTTCCACTGGAACACTTCCATATACGAGTCCAATGACAATCCAGTACGCTCTGCTTCGGGAATTCCTTGCAAAACAGGATCATTTTGACCCAAAACTTGAAAGTTGGAAAGAGGGCAGGTGACATGGACCAATTGACCCTCTAATTCGGTCTTGATGGGACTGCAGGAAGCTTCCTTGAAGATCTCTTTGGCTTCGTTGATGCTCTTCATATTGGCCACATTGCGATACTCATTCCAACCGGCCACACCCAAAGATCCAAAAAACAAGAGAAATCCAATGAACATGCCGCAACACGCATTCGACAGTTTCTCGCCATAGCTCGTGTGCTCAATCTCTTGATTCTCGGCCAATTCAGGGTCGCCAAAACCAAACATTCGTCCGACGTCTTCCATGGTAGTTTGTTGTTGTTTGTTGTAGTTTGCTGTTGCTTTGATTCGATTTATGTTCTTTTATGGCAACAGCAGTGTTGCTTGGTCCTCGTCGTTGTTGGTTTTGTGGTTGCTGTGATGACTTCCGTTTGACGAAATTTCTCTTTGGCATTTGGCAGCTCGCTCGGAGCACAAAAAGCCTCGCTGAGGCACGAATCAGCGGGGACTGGACACTCAAGATTCAGTACTGAAAAAGATACTGAAAAGATATCAGACAAAAAGGTGGGCAGATGCAGGAATTGAATGGTTATTCGCGTTTTCCAACACGCCTCACTCCTTTAATAATTAAACTCATAGTTAAGCTAAATGGGTTTTAATATGACCCAGACACAAAGCAGTACGATAGATGTAAGCTATGAGTACCAACATCAAAAATCTTAATCTAATACTTTAGAATACTACATGTATGTGGGGAGTGATGGCAGCTAGTACCTACAGTACTATCTTTCATATCACCATCTGCATCCAAGTCTCCAGATCCCCGTCTTTGGGTGCCTCCTTTACCACAACTTCTTTTGTTTCATCAATTTTGGCTTTGCACCTTTGCTTTCTTGGGCTTTGGTGGTGGCTCCTCACTGTCTGAAGGCATGGTTAGACTAGTATTATGGTATGTGACAATATCTGCTAGTGGCTATAAGAAATGAAAGATACTGAGATTGGACTGCTTGTAAGATAATGATTCAGGTTGGCTGTTGGTGCATCGAATCCTTTCAGATATCCCCAGTACTGGACTCAGAATAAACTGATCTTATCGATGAGGTAGACGCTTACAATACCGGTCGCCAATGTGGTAGGGACGACGAGCCGAGGTTATCTCCGGAAGAGAAGACTGAAGACTGCATGAAGGATCAATGATCGCCAAAGGTTCCGTACCACGTTAGGACTGTTCCGTGTCGTAACGGCAGACTCAAAAAGTGCCGTACAAGCAAGGGCCATGCTGCGATTGCCGCAGCTAGCTAGCTAGCGTTGCCCTGCCTGGTGTGTTTGCACCATTTCGCGTGGAGCTTCGAGTGCCACCAATAACTTTTAGACTACCGGTCTCTAGTCTAGCTAGGTCTACTTGTCATGTTGATGCGGGTTGTCCGCCTTGTGCCGTCCTTGTTGCTACCGCTTCCAGTGCGTACGGATGTGACCAACAGTGAGTACCATATTTTAAAATATCCTTCACCCTCGTGAGACACGAACGGGAATGATCTTTCTGCGATCAGAGCGATTGTGCTTCCAAAGTTGTTGTCGACAAACAACAACAAAAGGGCCAGACAACTCTTCACAATGGCGGATAGTAGGCTCTGGATTTGAGCCGTACCACCAGGTAGTAGATAGATTGTAGAAGAGGAGTAGAAAGCTTCATCATGTCTTATTCACAGCTACGGCGACCGCTAGCAATATCGCTCAAAATCCTGTTGGTGGTCTGGAGCAGCAGTTTTCTCGTCTCACTGGCCAATGCAGCCGACAAGAATAATAATAATTTGACTGGCTTGGAAATGTTGGATCCAGAGAGCCTCAAGGCACGCCAAGACGAAGTCAAGTTGGACCGCAAACTCAAAAAGGCATTTGACATGGCCAAACGGACTCTGGACGACTACAATGACGCCAAATCCAAACTGTCCACACTCTCCCACCAAATAGTGCAAGACGAGGATGGACTCGGCAACAAACTGCAAGAGATTGAGGACCTGAAAGAAGCCGTAGCGGTCACGACGGAACGCATTGACAAGCACATACGAGATCTCAATGCTGACCAGATTTTAGAATTAAAGAAAGAAATGGAAGAGTTGCGAAAACGAGAGTTGCAACGACGAGAAAAGTTAAAAGAAAAAGAGGAACGAGAAGCGACACGACGAGAAAAGCAGCAACAAAAGCTACAAGCCAAAAGAGAAAAGGCCATCAAAAAGAGAGAAAAGGAGAAGAAGAAAAAGAAGATGATGAAAACGAAAAAGCAAATGAAAAAGAAAAAGAAACAAAAGACGATTGTACCAGAAGGTGCCATTACCAAGGCCCAACTCCGAAATCTTGTGGACGTCAAAGCGATTGTCAAGGAAAGCGACGAAAAGCTCGAAGATTGGTGTGCCAAGCTCGTTGAAGAGGAAGTGGCAGCATTGCAAGAAGAATTGGAAGAAGTCGTCATTGAAGCAACAACTGCCCTTGGCGAACTGGGCAATGAAATAAGAAAGGCTGTCGAGGAACCAGCAGTCGTAGAGGACGATGATGACGAAGAAGCACCAGAGGTGGAATGTTCGGGTGCCACTTTGGTCGATGCCGTCCATCTAGTGCAAGAATCTTTGGTCAAATATTCTCACGACGCTGTGGGAATGGTAGATCACCTCGCCCAAGCATCTGTGGTACACTTTCTCACCAGTGACAACTATGTACCTGCTGCCAAACAGAATAGTCCCATTGATGCCCAGTGGTGGTTCCAATATTTACCCGATGACTGGGAAAGGGGGCTAGATGCAATAATGCCGGTTGGATGGAGACAATGGAACGTGGCCATTCCCGATTATGTCTACCATACCTTTGTAAGTAATGTCGGATTGCTTGTGATGGCAGGCGAAAGGATGGTTGCTCGACTGACTGACCGATCTCACTTGCTCGATGGTCAATTCTTATCATTCATCAGGGTTTCCATAAAATGGCAGCCACGGCACCACCGGAAGCTATTCTGACACCTCACATCTATCCCGGCTCTTGTTGGCCAATGGCAGGCTCATCGGGACAGGTAACACTGCGGCTTCAGAATCCTGTCAAGGTGAGAGCTGTGACTATGGATCATGCCCCGGAACTCTTATTTGAAGACCCCTTTGAACGCAAGAGTGCTCCAAAGACTGTTCGAGTGTTTGGTTACCCGTCGTGCTGGGTGAAGCAAGCCGGACAGAGTGATTACATCAAAGACGACTACTTGGACGAAGGCGATGATTCCGACGAAGACGACGCTGACTATGTTCGTGGTTTGTGTCCAGATGGACTGAACTTTGACATTCAGAAACCGATTGTTCTGCACGATTTTGAATACAACATTTCGGGGCCTAGCATCCAGACGTTTCAGATTCCATTACCCGAGGAGGAGATTGAGGAAGATGAGGGCAGTGACGGCGGCACTTGCTCGCAAGACACTGGGACTTGTGGGGGAGGCATGGAAGGCAATGATGCCTTGTTTGCGTCTCCGGATCGCTCCGGTTCTATCAATGAAGGTGTCAAAGCAATCCGGCTACAGGTGACGGATAACTGGGGGAACGCTGACTACACTTGCATTTACCGATTCCGCATCCACGGGGACACCATTGAAGACTGAGTGCACTGATTTCCTTCTTCCATACCTACCGTAGGTAAACGTCAGCAACCTGTCAACCCACGAGGAATGAGCATTTCCGAGGTCACATGGTTTGCGATGGAAGTTGTCTCAATCAGCGTCACTCAGCGTCACTGTTCTCGGCAGTAGACCCAAGCCGTCTCGTCCTTCTAGCCGTAGCTAGAAAATAGTACTGCCTTGCCGATCTAAATAACACGGACTTCAAAGAAAAGCTTCTTGCACCGTGCGGCTTATTAAAATCCCCCTTGCCCATCAGAAGACTAGCCGAGAGTCGTTGTTTCTACAGCATGATTGATGTGCACTGGGATGCGGCCTTGCATGCCTTACTGTAAAGACTCTGGTGTTACACTATTACAGGTCCATGAGGCATGAGGCACCCGGAGGATATAGGATACCCCACTAGCTAGACCGAAACTTCTTGGGAGTAGGAACTGTCGGAAGGATCGTAGTAATCAAGATTCTTCTTCAATTCCTCTGTCACGGGATCGATTGGCATCGATGAAGCTTCCTGATCCAACTTCTTGCCTTCCTCTGACAACGGGTCAATGGGAGATTCCCGGTCAAGGATTTTGAAAACGCGAATAGCACACTTCCGTACATCGTCTCTGGAATCCAGATCAGCCAGAGCAGCGCCCAATCCAATGACGCCCAAGATGAAAGTGAATTGTGCAATGATAAAGTCTCGAAATTCAAACTGCTCTGGATAGTTGATCAGCAGGTATCCACCCCACCAATACATCAGGGCGTTGGAAAAACGTTGTAGGCACATACCGAGGCCGGCCTTGAATGCAATAACTGCGCTAGCTGGGACAACATCGTGGTCGCCGTCCAATACGGACTTGTTGAATGCATCAAATTTTTTGGCTTCCAAAGTCAGGGCCGCAATTGTACGAATGTTGGACAGAGTTTCGGACAGAATGCTTCCAGGGTTGCTTGGATCCGAGTCAGAGTCCACTTTTCGAACGCCTTCATCTCCCTGTTGTTGAGCCCTGGTGAGCCTGGCAGCAACGGACAGAGGAACGAATACTACAATGGTCATCAACGCAAATGGCCACATGAACTGTAAAAAGGAGCAAGCGTGTGTTAGCAACATCATTCAACATGGTCATCGATTCGGTGGCACCAGCCAGACATACCGCAAAGGAAACAATGAGACCCAGAACTACGGATGCTGCAGCCTCAATCAATTGCCGGAAGGGAGTCCCTGCAAATGCATGTAGCCGAGCTGTGTCCTCCCCAAGCGCAGACAGGAGTGTTCCAACGTCATGGGTGTCGTGATAGGCTGGAGGTAGTCGCACCAGAGATGCAAATGTGTCATCGCGGACACTCTTTGTGAGCCGTTCGCTGGCTTGGCCAAATCCCCAGAATGAAAGAATACCCCCGACAAAACATAGAAGGGTCAAAAGACAATAATAAATAGCAACATCGAAGGATTGAGACTGCATCGTGTCTGCAGCAGAATCCCAGTACTCTTCACAAGAGTCGAAACCCATTGTTGCGTTGAATGCAGCAGCAAATGTATTGGGGCAAGGTCGCACGGTGAAGAAAAACACGTCGATGGTACCGGCGAACAGCATTCCCAATAAAGGATAGGTGCATCCACCCAAAAGAGCTCCGAGGGAGCCAACCAGAATGTACCGAGTGTTGGGAGCTGCGAGTTGCTTGATACGGTCGACGCTGAAAACGCTGTCTTTTTCTTCTTTCAAGTCCTCTTTTTCGCTGAACAGGGTGCTCTTGTACAAGTCATCGTCCGAATCTTCTTCTTCTTCTTCGGCGTCCTCTTGCACAGATGTTTTGGATCCATCCAACTCTTCTCGAATTGATTCTTCGATTGTGGCAACTCTTTTTTGAGCATTCACAAGACCTTGGTAATGGCCGTTCTTCTTTGCCATCAGTTCATCATGGCTCCCGATCTCAAGCACTGCACCACCCGAGATGAAGGCTATACGATCTGCATCTCTTACTGTGCTTAGTTTGTGCGCAATCACCAGCGTCGTCTGATTGCGGGAGCGCATCAATTGGGACAGCGCCTCTTGCACAATTTTCTCGCTTTCGTTATCAAGGGCGCTCGTAGCTTCGTCCAGAATGAGGAGCGGAGGTTTCTTGATAAGTGCCCGAGCAATGGCGATTCTCTGTTTTTGACTGTTGACAGCAAATGGTACGCAGGGTGAGGCGCCACCAATGAAGGAATACCGGTAGCAGAGGAAGACCGTGGTTGACTTACCCTCCAGAAACTTGCGTTCCTAGTTCACCCACTTGAGTATCATAGCCTTGCGGGAAAGACATTATGAAATTGTGGGCATTGGCTTGTTTTGCCGCTTCTTCAATGGCTTCTCGTGACGAGTTATTGGGTGCTCCGAACGCAATGTTCTCTGCAATCGAGCCGGGGAAAAGGGTTGGCTCTTGTCCAACATATCCTTCATAGTACAAAAGAACACACAAAAAAACAATGTTAGCAACGTAGAGATTCTCCTTGAACTCCCTCTCTCCGGTTTCTCCTTACCAATCTGATCACGATACCAGTGAACATTTAGAGACGTGATGTCATGGCCCTTGTATTCCACAACACCTCCAGATGGGTCGTAGAATCGTTCAAGAAGAGCCACGGTTGTTGATTTGCCGCCACCACTGTATGGATCAGAAGAAACACAAAATCGAATCCAAGAGCTTTGCAATGAGAGACCGCCCAAAACTACAATGGTGCAATGCGACTGTTTGCATGCCTCGCCTCGACTCGACTCACCTTGGACCGACGAGAGCAACCGTTTCACCTGGCAGCAGGTCCAAATTGAAGTTTTGAAAGACAGTCTTTGTGGGACGAGCTGGAGAGACCAAAAAGCAAACGAGACAAAACAGGAAAATGAGTGAGTGAGTGAGACACAAAATCTTGGATGGATGCTCGGGATTGCTAGCTATCTGCGCCATTTTGTACTTACCTGGGTAACTGAAGCAGACATTTCGAAACCTAACCGCGGGGATCTGTTCTCCGTCGTCTTTGGGCGCGAGAAGTGGAGGAGGTGCGCAGGTTTCTGGTGTGCCAAGCAAGAAAGATCCCTGTCCCTTTGGCTCGTCGTCATTGTCAACACTCACGATACTACTATCTCTTTGAACCACGGGGGCATCGGTAGCAACATCCGCCGGTGCCGTTTCAGTGGGTCCTTCTTGGGTTTCTACCAGGTGTCGATAGTGACCTGCCTCATTCGTCATTAACTCTGCGTGGGTGCCCTGTTCTGCCACTTGCCCATCGGCAATGACAAAGATGATATCCGCATTGCGAATGGTCGACAGCCGATGTGCTACAATGATTGTGGTCCTTGCTTGCTCTTCGACGATGCGATCCAATGCAGCCTGTACCACCTGTTCAGACTGTGAGTCGAGCGCCGACGTTGCTTCGTCCAAGAGCAATACGTTGGGATTGGAGACCAAGACTCGTGCCATGGCGACCCGTTGTTTCTCTCCTCCACTCAATTGTGCTCCCTTGTGTCCCACATGAGTATCGTATCCTTCTGGAAAGGAAGTAATGAAATTGTGGGCATTTGCCAATTTGGCAGCCTGTTCAATTTCTTCTTGCGTGATGTCGTCCTTGGTACTACTACTCCCATGGGCAATATTATCCCGAATCGATGCCGCAAATAGGACGGGTTCCTGCGACACGTAGCCAATCGTTTGTCGGTATGCCTTTAGATTCAAGTGTTGAATATTGGTTCCATCGAGCAAGATCTCACCCTCACATGGTGAATAGTATCGTTCAATGAGTCCGAGCACGGTACTCTTGCCACCCCCACTGGGTCCCACCAACGCCACCGTCTTTCCAGCGGGTATATCAATGCTAAAGTTTTTCAAAATGATATCATCGGGTCGGGAGGGATAGGAAAAGGAAATGTTGGAAAAAGAAATGTTGCCCTGAATGCCTTTTGGCTTGATCCCAGCCGTGTTGGAAAATGGGTCGTAGGGTACGGATTGTTGTTTTGAGGATTGATGTGTGCCTTCTTCAACCAATGTCATTTGTTGATCCGTGTTGGTTTCTGGTGCCTTTGGAAGGCTTGTCTGTTTTGCCTTTTTGGATTCAGCATCATCATCATCATCATCTTGAATGACAGACATGGCTTCGCCCACGGCGACACGTGCTTCTTGAAATGCCTCGAGACAATTCCCCAGTCGACTCAATGCTTGCATGGAGAACATGATTCCAATCATGGCTCCAAAGATATCGGCTCCGGTGGTAGGACAGGGTCCCGTGCCAAAACTACCACCGGGATCACATCCCGTGACACGCACGTCCCGATACATGACATAACTTCCAAAAAGGACGACGAGTGCAAAGAGGGAAATGACGGCGGCCATCATGGCGGCATTCCAGAATCCCAATGCCACCATGAATGATTTGGCACTGTCCAACGCGCTCTGTGTGGCGTGTTGATAGGACTGGAGGCGTGCTGGAACGGCATTGAGCGACAGTACCGTTCGTAACGACGTGAGTGTAGTCATGGCAATACTGCCCGCTTGTTGATAGTAATCGGCAGCCCGCATGGATTTGGTGCGATTGAGTTGCATGCCTCGAAACGTCGCGGCAGTCACAAACGGAAGGATACAAAAAATGAGCAATGCGACTTGCCAACTGGCCACCAATCCAAAGAGAATTCCGGCTAGACCAGTCGTAATGTTTTGAATGGTTTCTCCAAATTTGGCACCCATGCCGCGTCGATAACTGGCGGCCGCCACCATCATGGATGTCGCCATGCCATTGACATGCGGATGAGTGTCCCAAAAGGACATGTCTTTGCGCAAGAGGGCGTGGAACCACTCGTATTGGAGCAATCGACTCGCTCGGGCGGCGGCCAATTGAAAACAAAAGTTTTGAAAAAAGGCCGTCACCAACGAATAGACGCCCAGCAGAATGAATGTCACGGAGATTTCTCGAATTTGTGCCAATGGACTACTACTCGTGACAGCTTCTTCTTGTTGTTGTTCGAGTATGAGGAGCGCATCGGGGCCGGACAAGCCACTGAGGGTTTGAAAGGTTTGCGACATGAAATAGGCCAACAGGGGCCAAGTCATTCCGTGGGCCATGCCACCCACTGTTCCACCGACAAACAAGAGTTGTGTGCTCACGCCACAGCGAAATAGAAAACTCAACGTGTCACTCAAAGAAGCAGCGCTCTTTTTGACATTGACAACCGTTGTTTCTTCTTCATTGTTCGGCTGTGATGATGGGGTCGTCATGGTAGAGGTTTAATTGTTCTGTGTGAAACAACGATGTTCTGGGTTTTTATGCGGCTGTCTTGCTGGTGATGAGTGTGATGAGAGCCAAAGACAGACTTAGCAGGTTAGTTAGTTTATGGATGATACCAACAGTCCCATCGTCTATTATGCAAGATTCCTCGCTCTCGGGCTACAAGGATGATTGAAATGATCCACAGAGGTTACATTCCGGCGCCCATGATGGATTGGATTGCTGTGGAACAGTTTCTTGATGGTTTGATAGCGGACAAACAATGATGCCGGTGACGCCCAAGCAGCCAAAGCGCTGCAGTCATCAGGCTTTTTCAAAGCCGGGAACAAAGTGGAAAAACCAGTTTGGAGCAAGTGTGCGATGTCAGTGTCATTCCAAAAGATTTCATTCCGTTACCACCGTTGGAAAAAGAGTTGTCAACGCACCACAACAATGGTTGCTGTTCGTCGGGTCCTCACCAAAAACAACCGTACCCGGTACATTCCGAAGGACTGATCTCTCGCTTCACTGAACAGAGGTCCACTTCTTGGTCCTCACAACACAAAAAGCAGAGCTGATCCATCTGGCCAGCCCTAATAATAGAAGCTGTCGTTCCCAAAAGTTTGTACCAGGAAGCTGCGAGAATACATACAAAATGACCACACAAGAAGAACTTGCTAGTACCTCCTGGGCTGAATTCCAGACGCGATACAGCCCAAGCGTTTCGGACGAGGCAATCTTTCGTCGAACTCTGCCCACTCGATACCGTAGGGCCATTGCCAAAGAGCTAGAAGCTGCCGTTTTCTATGCTTCGAAATCGGTTACGGTGATGCAAATCTTTGCGTGCGATGAAGGATGCCCGCACATCCAATTCACGGTACGTAGATGCCGTGTTACAAGGCATCCATCGAAGCATTCAACATTATGGTCGTGATGGCTGGACACTCCAAAAGCTGCAAATCCAGAGTTACTTTGAACTCAACCGCGCCCAGATGGATAAGCTCCTGTGGGTGGCCCCAAAGGAGTTGGAGCTGTGCATACATGCACATTTGGAAGAAGAGGAGCCAGAGCAGGGGGGAACCTGTACTCGCGATTGGTCCATGTGCGGTCTACAGACACTCAGCTTTGACTATTACAGTGAGCTAGATGATGCTGCCTTTGTTGCCTTGCTGGAGACTCTCAGCAAACTGTCATCTTTGCAGTCACTCAGCTTGAATGCTTGTCCAGAAGGCGAGGAACCGTTGGAAGATATCGAAGGAGTGGGATTCAACAGAGAGAAAATCACCGGCCCATTGGTGCAAGTCCTTGAAAACAACCCGAACATTCATTACCTTCAACTATGCACGTTCCTTCCGGAAGCAGGACCCTTCTGCGATCAGTTGCAGCGGTGCAACAATCTGAAGAAAATACACTTGAAACAGCTCAAAAGTGTAGAGGAAGGCGGAGACTTGCGCTATTTTGAGCTACTTTTTGCGGCTCTGTCAAGCAAGGACCTCATAGTGGACGAGTTGAAATATGAATACATGGACTCTGACGAAACCAACGAAACCCCCTGGGGTCCCTCTGGAGTTATGTATCCCATTGCCCTAAACAAAGGGGGCCTTCGTCAAAAGATGGTTGACGAGTCCATTAATAGCAAGGAGCTCTTTAATATGTTGACTCCGCTCTGCAGCAGTGAGGCAGAAAGAGAAACAAGGCGTGCAGCAATGATGGAGATGGTTAGCAGCGAGTTGGCTGATTACGACAGAGCAAAGAAGGAGCACGCATTGGGAAATTCGGACCATCGATTGTTGTTTCAAGCAAGTTTTACTAGTGGTATGATGGTGCCTTATGTTGCAAGCAGGTACGGAAACAAGCCAATGCAAGACTTGAAGGATACTTGCATGATCTATGGACTGTTGCGTCAGTCACCTGCTATCTGGCTGAAGATGGCAAACAACGATCAAGAGGAGGATGCCAAGCCAAAAGCAAGGAAGTGTCCAGCAACGCAAGGTAAGGCCGGCCCAACCAGAAAGAAACCAAAGCAGTCAACAACGTAGCAAAGTGAGGAGACGTGTCGATTCTTGGTTTCAGTTGCCATTGATGTTTGGTGTACATTTGCTTACGGCAGCACCCCTTGGCTGAACACTCCCACAAGTGCTAAGATTAGATACATGACGCTTAATACCGCTTACCTACCTACTCTAGATTGAAAATGGCGTGCTGGCTAGAGTCCCCGCAATGGATTAGCATGGAGAGTGGCTGTGTCGGCGAGCGTGATGTTTTGACCGCGCAGGATGCAAACATCATCGCACAAATGGATATATCCTGTTTCAACGACAAGATATGAGCTATTAAACTATAAAGCCAGAGGATTTTCAGATGTCCTACCTCCCCGTGCAACTAGCTCAAAACAGGCACAATCACACCCAGAATGAATCCAATCACATAAAGAACGATTGCATCATTCAATCCTCCAATCGCATTGACAATCAGCCACCGAAACGCAGGCCTCGATACTACCAATCCTATGTATGCTTCCTTTTTAAAATACCATTGCGCCAGGGCGACAAGCCCAATCCCCGAGCTTCTCATGGCCATTGAGATTGAAGACCTTTGCCTTTTCATAAAAGCAAACGCCCCCACGTTCATTGCAGGAATCCAGCAGCGGTGACCGATGCAAGCAACCAGGGGCAACAAAAAGAACAACACCAGGGATTCCAACGTGGTCCCCCACCGTAGTACTAACCTGGCCCGACGATGCTTAACTTCGCTGAGCAGACGGGAAGCGGTGCTGTCATCGTGGTATGGTCGTTCCTGAGAGAGAGTGAAGTTTGTAGCATTACAAAGTCTACACTTTTGTTTCTGGTCTTGCGGACCATTCGTTGCCCTTCCAAAAGAAACACAAACCATGACGAGCAGATCAGTCAAGAAGCAGGGAAGAAGAAAGTGACGCTGGACCAATCATCTCGGCTTGCAAATTGCAAAAGAATACAAACCATGACGAGTCGATGGAGTCAAGAAGACAAGAAAGAAGAAAATGATCGCGAGCGGACTTCTCCTCATAAACCTGCGGAAGAGGACGTTAAAATGTGGAGGGAGTTCGATATTCACGAGGAAGAGCAGAATGCCTTCGATATGAACGCCTTTGATTTGTTTGGTCGAGAAGAACCACTCGATACGGTCGACTTTACATTTCCTGAACAGTTGCCGGACGTGGTGATTCAACTGCAGTGCCAAGAGGACTACACACAGTCGACGGGCATGGCCATTTGGTTGGGTGCCGACCTTTTGGCCGATTTCATGCTCCAATCGCCCCATCTTGTACGCGGCAAAAAAGTGCTGGAGGTTGGAGCCGGCGTCGGGCTCTGTGGGATTGTTGCGTACCATTTGCAGGCGTCCCAGTTGGTCTCGACGGATGGAGACCTGGATGCCTTGGACAATCTACGACGCAACGTTCAGCATAACACGGACACAAAAAAGTGCACTTGTCGCCAGATGATATGGGGCAAGAATATTCCAGAGTTTCGAGACTCACACGGTCGATTTGATGTCATTCTCGGGTCCGACCTCTTTTACATGACACGAAGTATCAAACCTCTCTTTCAAACGGTGGATCAGTTATTGACACCCGGTGGCATCTTTTTGGCTGCCAGTCCCTGTGCCAAGCAAAATTCATTCGAAGATATTTTGAAATTGGTGGAAGAAGAGGGATTTGTTTGGACCCAAGAAGCTTCTGATGTATACATCTTTCGTCGGAAAGCAAAGAAGGAAGATGGTGAAAAATAGAGATAGCCGGCCATAATCGAGTATCCCTGCATGGGTGTTCAGCTGGAATTGGTTCCTCAGTGAATGGGGTCCAAGCTATCCACTCAGCACGCAGATATAGATGGTTTCCGTGGTTGCCAGCCAATTGTTCATTACAAACAACATTGGGGTATTCCTGTTTAGGATTCTCTCCAACTATGACATACAGCAGGACGACGGCAAAATAGAGCAGATGTGCAGCGTGTTCCAGTCTTCATCCTGGAAGGGCTGAACTTGTATGTCATATATTTCCGTCCCTCTTTCTCTTCGTTTTGGGTTTTTCGGCTTCCCTCTCATCCTGCTGTGTCTCAATGACGCCCGAGTTGAAAAGCTTGCGGCCGAAGGAGTAGTCCGTAGAGAATGACCGTTTCCCGTGTCAAACTCTTCCCCGATCTGATGGTTCTTCGCGTTCGTCCCACCGCACAGTGGTTCCAACGGGTTGCTAAGCTAGCCAGAAATGTTTTAATCCACCAGTTTCCTAAGACGGCCACTCTTGTTCAGGGCCACAAAGCAATCAACGTTAGATGGGCCACAAGGCGACAGACTCCGAGGTATCCCACTCGAAGTATCGTTCCAATATCCGAGGTCTTCTGTAACGACATCCGAACTCGACAGCGCTGATGCAAGATGCTCAAAATAGTAGAGGTATTCTTCTTTGCTACTGGCCAACTTGACCATGTACAATTCAGTCAGGTGCTTGCATCTCTTCAACTGTTGACAGAAGGGACCTGCTTTGGGGAGCAGTTTTGGATCCAAGCCAAGAGTTTTCAGTTTGGAGTTGGTCTCGAGAACATTCACTAAGGGACCCGTAATGGCCTCACTCTCAAACTCACTCATGCTATCTGGTTCTGGTGGAGCATGCAAGCGAAGCGATTGCGCTGTTGAGAAGTTACTCAGAGATTCAAGCCAATCGACGTGTCGATCGTCAATCATCTCTTTGTCTTTGACGGAGAGAACTTGCTTAAGCAACGCTCCGACAAATCAGAGAGACCACGAGTTCGTTGTCCACCGCATATGAATCCTCGTCGTCATACGGATATGGATATTCGCTGAGGCATACTTCAAGCTTGTGTGGTGCTACGTTTAGTAGCTTTGCTATCTGGGCTCTCGTCAGATGGAAACAACTCACGAGTTTTAGTTTTTTCAGGGTCCGTCAATCACAGCCATCTTTGATGCTTTGGTGGAGATCATCCAATGCTGCATCCAGGGACTTGCTTGTTCTGCAACATAACCCGGACCACCCCTTTAGCTCAAGCACATGCGTGCATTCAATGTCACTTGGCGTGACCCACGTGTGCTTCGTACGGTATCCCGCGGCCGTACTAACACAACCTGCTCGGCAGGGGAAAGCTAAGGATGCGTCGCTGCGGCAACTCATCGGCAGGACAAACAAGGATGTGGTACATGGGTTACAAATACAGAATCTTCAAGCAATTTGTGCCTCTGAAAGGGGGTGTAGCCCGAATCTGCGACGACGTCTCGTAAGAAGTGGGAAAGAAACAAAAGCAATGAGAGTTGGTTACATGTTTGTCTGGAACCTTTGTGTACATATGTCCGAAACAAGATAAACTTCTCAAGCTATAGAGGTTGTCTTTAAAGGGTGAACTATGAGCTACCAGCAGAGACAATGATATCTTGCGGCTGCACACAAACATAAGTGCAACGTGATCCGCTATAGCATCACGTATTCATCTTCGTCACTCTCCGCATCACTTTCTTCTTCATCCAACAAGGATCCACCCGCCATATCACCGGTCAAATCATCCATCATCGAGGACGATATCATGTTACCATTTTCATAATCAGGGCTCTTGTCGGCAAAGGAGAAGATTTCTGGCAGCCCTGGATTGACCTTTTTCCATGCATTCATGAGATCCTGCAAGTGCTGCAACTCTTTGGACGACCGGCAGTAAAACCCCAGCGCAATGCTCGGATCCATGCGTACCAATGGCACTGTTTCCTGGTTGGTGGTGTGCACTGATCGCAGATATGATTCCGAAATGTCCACTACAGAAATTGCCTTTCCATTGATGCGAGCCGTTCTACGGCGTGGTGCCTGTTGCACGGTATGTGGATCCAAGCCAAGAATCCTGCTGCCATCGGACCAAGCACCATAGAACCTAACACAATGGACAAATTCTAAGTGCATGCCAAAGAGAAGAAGTTACAGAATTGGAGCTGCACACCCACATTGCACTTACCATCGAGCCCCACGTGGTCTTCCTCCCAGCATACCAACAGAATAAGGTATGGAAAAGGTAAAGGCAATGGACTTGGCATAGTCATCATTGATCCCATTTAGGCCCAACCGGAGAGGAATCAACAGAAGCAGTCCTGTATCCCATTCTAGTTGTTCCAATGCAGCTTGTTCCTCCTGCACTTCTTTCAATTCTTGTTCGGCACTGGCTAGTGGATGATCTGGCACTACTTTTTTGGAGGCATTGCTTTGTTTCTTTTTGGCAGCTTCGTACGCCGCGCGACTCTCCTTCGTCATGAGTTCTTGCACAGCATCATGATAGACGGATCCCTGCGCCGCCACATGAACCCGAAACACCCGGATTGGTTTGTCTGGTACCTTGATGAGGGTAATATTGTTTATTGTCGCATTCTTGTCATCTGTATCATTCTGTTGTTGTTGTTGTTCTAATTGTCGCAATTGTTGTGCTTGTTGTTGTTTCTTTTTCTTCCACAATGCCACTTGTCGGATTTCATGTGCATGTACCAAATCCCGCAACACATGACAAGCCGAACCGGGTCCATACCATTCTCCTGGCAAAATTTCGTACTTGGCATGTCCCGCCGCCACCATATTGTGCAAGGAATAGACATTATCCGATGCAGATGGAAAATCGGCCATCCACGTCAAGAGACTGCGCAAGAATGGTTCACGTCGCCGTTGGGAAATGGACAATCGATGGGATCTCCACTCTCTCGACTTGAAATGCACTCGTAAGGCTTGTGCAAGCATCATTTGCGCAGATCGTAGCATGCAACCCCATCCGGCATCGGAGAAAATGCCGTAAGGAGAAATCTCCGGAAAGCCACCGCGATAGGTGACCCAAAAGAGGGACAATTCATCGTCTCGTTTTGGCTCGTATTCTCGTTCTGGATCATACCATTTGCCCAGTAAATAAATGCACGGGCCAGCGGTAGGATCATGAATTGTGATAGTGTGGGTAGTGGTATGATGCAAGCCAGCTGTTCCATTACTTGTATTGGAGGAGGAGAGCAATGGCGTATAGGCTGCTTGGTCCAATAATGACTCACTGTCACTCCTGTCATCCTCATCACTTTCATTATCCACATCATCTCCATCTCCAGGTACATGACAGCAGTTCCCATCCACTTCCTCTCGATTATTGTATGGACCATCACAGAATTCGTACTTGTAACCATAATCCCGTGTCACATCTTGACTAATATTTTGGCTTGGCTGTTGCAGAATTCTCACTGGATGGAGTTCGTGTTCTTCTGGTGCATTTAGTATTTCTTCACTATCACCACGAAACAGAGATTGCAGCATGGTAGTGGGCTTTTGGGGCAACGGAGAGTCCGAGAGATCCACGTTCTGACAACGGGCGTTTATGACAGAAATGACACCTTGCTCTTCGCCACAACACTCGGGTCCTTTCACTAAAACTGCCACGGATTCTTGTGGAGGTAGACTCAATAAGGATGATGCAGTGGAAGATGACAGTGCTACGGAGGACATGGGGTATGATTGAATGATCGTATGTGTATTTCAAAGTCTGTTCCGTCAACTTGGTTACTTCGGGTTTCTTTCTTGAAGAGCAACGACAACACGGCAACGGAACGGAAGTCGGACGCGCCATCATGGATTATTAATAACAATAATAATGCAATGGCGATTGTGATTCGTGCGTGTTTCGGCTCCAACTCTACGATTGGTTGGGAGGGTACATTCCTACCTCATCAATAAGATACATCTATTCTTTGTCCAGTACTGGATGTATCTTGACCGATTCAGCCACAGCAACAGTGAGTTGTTATCATACAAGCAGCCCAATCTCAGTATCTTTCATATCTTATAGCCACTAGAAGTGTTTGTTACAATACCCTACTATTAACCATGCCCTCAGACAGGGAGGAGCCACCACCAAAGCCCAAGAAGGCAAAGCAAGGTGCAAAGCTAAAATTGATGAAACCAAAGATGTTGTGGTAGGGAGGCACCCTAATAGAAGATGCGGATATGGAGTACTTGGATGTAGATGGTGATGTGGAAGATAGTGGGTACCAGCTGCCCTCACTCTCCACATAGAAGTAGTATTAACTTAGGATTTAAGACGTTGATACTCGTAGCTTATCTTACTGGTTTGGGAAATCTGAGTGTCTGGGATATCTAAACATTTCTAAAAAGTTGATTACTCGGTATCTTAATTAAACCCACCTATCTTAACTATGAGTGAGGAGTGCAGAGTGGGTGGATTACATGAATTTACCGGCGCTACTAGCCAGCTACCGTAGCAGAGAGGCAGGAACCACAAGGAGGGCTGCATTCATCGAGCCTAGCTAAGGGGGGATTCGATTCAATGCCGGCCAGTGGCTTGCTATGGTAGCTTGTCGCTGACGAAGTGAAATAGAGCTAAAAAGAGCACAGTAGCACAACTAATAGACAGATCCAGATGGAGTGACGAGTGACGAGCTCAGTCATTCTGAGAAAGCACCTGACAACTCTTCTTCACATCCGTTTTTGCCAACTGTTTGTACATTGTCGTTTGAGGGCAATGGGCAATGGCGTCCAAGTAAGCATCACTCTCATTTCTCCAGATTAAGTTGCTCCCACTCAGTTCTGGCAAGTCTCAGATATTGTTTTGGCCGCGTTCACTTGCTCCCCAAACAAAAATCCTGAGAGGCTTTAGTTTTGATTCGGCTCTGTTGTTGTATTCGTGAAGGTGTGCTTCTCCAGCCACCCGCAAGATGGAATTCAAGTTCGTCTCGTTGTTTTGTGGACATTTTCGATTGCCCAAGCCTCATGGGTCGTCTGCTACCTTCCTTTGCTGCACGGTAGTTCAACACCAACAGCAGCAGAAGTACCAAGAAACTACTTTTTCTTTGCATTTTGCAATAATTCCGAAGGTACATGCGACTGAATGAATCGAGCCCACCATTGTTTCGTGAGTTTTTCGTACTTGTAATCTCGTGCTCTGCGAATAATGCGTCGATATTCCCGTTCCAAAAAGGCCGGTGTTAGGTTGTCATAAGAATCAATCCAAGCCACTGGCAAATCGCGAAAGGTTCGAAACCAGCCATCCGTGCGATTCAGATGCTCCAAGACAGGAACAGTGCCCAAATAGAGCGCCTCCCAATGCCGGTAACAATCAAATCCCAATCCGCCCGGACTGAAAATGAATTTGGAACGTTGCATTTCGGCATAATAATTGGAGACAGCGGCATCGTCCTTGCCAAAGGTATTTTTCAAGCCGGTACCCTTGAAATTGCGTAGGACAGCGTCAATGGCAGCCTTGCGCATGGACCGTGCCTTGCTATTGACCATGAGCAGTTGCGTTCGTTGTGGTGGTGGTTGTTGTCGTTGTTGTTGTGCCAATTGTTCCAGCAAAAATTGCGCTTTGGAAACTTTTTGAATGCCCAAAGGCAGAGAATGCACTTTGGGGTGATCAAAAATTTGGAATTGTGTGGTAATCGCCAGGAGGGTATCGGGATGGTCGAGATACCGAAAGACGGTGGAATTTTTGCATCCCTCCTTTTTCCATTCTTGTCGTATGAGATCGGGTGTCCAATTGGCCGTCTTGCCAGGAATGGCTTGACTGAGGCCACCCCAATTTTCGTTTAATTGAAAAAAGAGAACATGGGGCAACGGCGTTGTTGTGGCGTCTGCGGCTCGATGGCGGGTAAAGTACAAGGCCGCTTGGCAAATGGATCCCCAAAAGATGTACGGTCGTCCTGGCAATTGTCGATTGAGGTCGGGTTCCTTTTTGCCATTGGCACGGTAGACCGTGGGAAAGAGTTGCCAGAGGGGACCAAAGGTTCTTCCACTGCTCGTGCGAGCATCCCAGACGAGTGCCGACGAAGCATTGACGTAGCGACGGATGCTCTGGTAGTGATACTCGTAAAAGTCACGTTCGTCTTGGTCTTGTACTACCAATGGCAGACCATTATCCCTGGCAATAATGGCGGGCCTGGCCAAGACTTCCTCGTCGGTATCCGTCTGGATAATACCCACATGGTGAGACAACTGACGAGACAAGAGGTATCCCAGAGCCAGGACCAAGAAAACAAGGGCTTGTCCACGAACTCTTCTTGATTTCTGGATCCAAACCATCAACTTCATTGGCACCTCTCTGGCTACCGGTAGCTTAGCCAGTTATCTCCAATATCCCATCGCTATCCATCCATCCATCAATAGCAGCTCCACCTGTAACAGCTCGTAGAAACAAGCAGCTGTCTTGGATTGACCAGTGATATCCGAGATTCCGAGGGCCGTAGGAAGCCCAGAATTCAGGCAGTTGGTTTTGGATGTTTGGATGGTGGGAGTGGGAGTAATAGAAGGGCAGTTGGTTTTCCATTTTCGAAGATACTAACTAGTACTGGTACCGTACAGTCTGCCCTCTCTAATAATTATAATCTTGTATTTATTGGTCGCTGTAATAATTATTAAATCTCGAGGTCCCCCCCCAGTCCCGGGTATCCGTGAATGAAGGAACAAATCTTTCGAGGAGCCCAACAACGTCGTACAATCCATTCCAACCGTTTCAATTTGACCGAGACAGCATGTCAAATGCCGATATCGATCCAATGGAGGTGTCATTCCTGGGTACCTCTGCGGTATCTCTGCACGCACCTCTCCGAGGCTGTCTCGTCGGTGCCAGCCCAAGCCCTGGTTCTTTACGTGCATTTTTCGAAGGATGGTTTTGACGAGACAAAAACAATTCAGGTGAGCTGCCAAACAATTTCACACAAACCATACCAAAGGATCCAATCCGACCTAGACCAACATGTAGGGCTGGCAAACGCAAACGTGACGGCTCTATCCATTCGTTTTTCACTAGTGGCTAGCCTCCAGAACGTACTATATTTAGTGTCACTGTTATATTTACTGAGATCCACCTTCCCCCCTTATATATATTAGAGAGGGCAGACTGTACCCTTGACCAGTGATACCCTTTTGGCCTTTGGGGACATGGTTTACAGCTGGTTTATCCTTAATAATAGAATTTATTGCTAAGGAGAGGAAAGCATGTGATGTCATTTGATAGTAAATCTACTCAAAGGATACCGCTACCTAGATGGGTAGCATTTTTCCAGTCCGTCCATGGGTACGCTTCTACAGCAACCACCATTATCCGGTCATCTTTCTCGATGTTACAGCTGGACAGGGCGCCGACTGAATGTTCCTGGGAGGTGGCGTCAGCCACCAAAAGGCAAAAGCGTCAAGCAAAGGGTCATCTTCGTTTCAATAGACACCAATTTGAGCCGCATCAACTTAACTTTGAACAGCAACCCACACAGAGCAAGTCATAGATAGCCAGAGCATCGTCGGTTGGACGACAACAGCAGTACCAAAGAAGAAGATTCACCTCGACTTGCTTGCTCAGCTACCTATCATCATTGATCCCTGATACCCTGCTGACACACAGTAGCTCCTTCTGACACACCACTTCTATCCGTGCTTGGGCTAGTGTGCTCTCCCTCTGTACCGCTGTTGCGTGCTTGCTCAACCACCCCGTTCAGTCACCCATCATCCCCATCTATCAGATCTGTATCCCTCCCTTGAGATACCCCACTGAAAAGAGTCATACAGCACAATCGCTGCATCTTAAGCCAATAGCTAACCAATAGACAACAGACACCAACAAGATGGGATCAGAAGAACACGCCGATGTGCCTCCTCCTGTGGAGGGGGAGAAGAAGAAAAAGAGTAAGAAGAAGAAACACAAGAGAGGTTCCGTGACGGGCCAATCACCCGCGGAACGAAAGGCGTATGGAAAGCAAAAGGATCTCATGCCCCAATTCTCGGCCATGCCCGAGTTTACAAACTACAAGGACTATGCGAATGATGATGACTCTATACTCTCAGCAGGGTCACGTTACGAAACCAAAGAAGATCAGGATGTCGCCGTTTTCATGGCGTTGGCAGGCAGAATGAATATTGATTCCCTCTTGTTCATTCTCAATGGACATGCGCGAGAAATGAACCTGCCTTCCTCGGAGTACCTACTCCCTCAAAATAAGGAAAAGGCCAAGGTGCTGGCCAGCAAGAAAAAGAAGGAATTCTGCTGGAAAGAAGACGAAGATGGCAACGTCGCCTTGGAAATCTTTGAGATTGAACCCATGAAGGGCGCCGATATGTGGTTCGACGATGACTTTTCACAAAAGATCCTCATGGGCGCCATTCGGGATGTCCGTTACTACCAGGCCAACAAGCCGGATTACATCAACTCGGTCGAGACCCTCGCCACCCAGCCCGACAGCGCTGCCACGGAAGGACACATGAAGACCCTCATCAATGATAAGCACGCTCGTGGATTGGAAGTCCACATTTGCTCCTACATTGAAGAAGTCCGTCGGGAATTCATCAATGCCATCTTGGACGAACAAGACGACTGCGAAGATGCGGGAGAGAACTACGATAACACGGCCGATCGTTTGCGCAAGGCTGGATTGCAGTTCACCGTCCAAGCGCAAGAATTTGCCTACAAGTTGGCCAAGTGCGATCATATCGTCGCCCTCAAGGCGTCCCTCTCCAAATGGGACAAACCCAAGACCAGCAAGAAGAAGCCCGGACAAAAAATTGAACGAAGCAGCAGTGGTAGCCGAAAGAAGGCCGCCAGTGAAGTAGTTTCAGCCGCCTAAATGAGCGGTAGAACAGAAAAAGGAGCACAAGAGAAAGAGAGGCGTATAGAGGCAGCTTGACCTGAACAAGGGGATGACGGCGTATTCTACCGACGTGTGTCCTTCTTCTGGGAGGAAGGGTGTGGTCGGAGGAACTGCTTGGCACCACTTACTTGTTTAGATTGGTTGTTTGTAGGTTGATATGCAGAGGAAGGAAACGATGAAGAAGAATCTGGTGCTCTTTTTGCTATTTGCATTTTTGTTGCAACACTTCGGTGAAGGTGCGGCAATGTACTCTTTTCCAACTGCGTTCACTCATGCAGCGACGAGAAGTCGATGGATGAAAACGCTGGAGAAGAATCTGAAAATTGGTAAAATTAACTTTTAAAATGATTACATAGATGGCTGGTTGCATATAATTCTGCTTAGGTTGTACTCGAGTAAGTACGACTGTAGTAGCTAGACCAAGCAAAACATCCGATGGGCTATTGTCATGGCGACAATAATTCTGCGTCTACCGGTAGCCAGCGCAGGGATGACGATCGGGAAGCAGGAAAGGCACCTCCAAGAAGAGGATGCCAATCGGCATGATCGAAGCCAGCCTCCTTTCGACTCGGCAGAAGAGCCAAGGAAAGGAACGTCAACAGGGCATCCAACAGGTGGTTGGTACATGAGTGTTTGGCATCGTGGGCAAATTTTTCAAAATGGAAGATTTTCCACGGCAGCGGAGTGCGCAGGAGTGTTGCAGGTCTGATCTTCCAATCGAGTAAGTCGAATGAGGCGAGAGCTTCTTCGCGATTCGATTCGCGAAATCCAAAATGGCCAAACCCCAACACCCCACAAACGGCACATCTTTTTGATCCTTGCTCTCTACATTAGTAGTAGATGATCCCACCCCTCTTCATTCTCTCACCTTTGGTATCGCTCTTCCTCCTTGCCACAATGTCCACTTCTGGTCTATCCGACGGATTATCCTTTATTTCCGACATCTGCGGTGCACTCAAAAAGTTGAAGCGAACGGGATGGGTCAAACATCAGATACCTCTACCCGAATCGGACAGCGATCACATGCACCGATGCGCCATGTGCGCCCTACTGGTGGGTCAACCCGCCGATCGTCGAGACCAGTGGGCGTACGAGCTATTTCCACAGTACCATCCGAGCAAGGTGGACACTACCAAATTATTGAGAATGGCAGTGACGCATGATTTGTGTGAAGCCTTGGCAGGCGATATTACTCCCTTTTGCGATCCCTCCTTGGTCGAGAGCAAACACGACAAGGAAGATCAAGCCATGGCAGCCATTCAAAAAGTAGTAGCCGGTCCATTGGGTCAAGAACTGTACGATTTGTGGAAGGAATACGAAGCGCAAACCACAGTGGAAGCCATTTATTGCAAGGATATTGACAAATTTGAAATGGTCGTGCAAGCTTTTGAATACGAAAAGGAACATTTAATGGCCAAGGGACAAGTCGACAAAAAACCGGCTGCCGCTTCTTCTTCTTCATCTGCTGACGAACCACCACCGGCCAAGAAATTAAAACTCGAAGGAGTAGCCGCCAATCCACCCACCATCGCTGCCACCACCAAGCATCGAGATGTCCGAAAGGATGTCTCTTCCGAACCGTTGCGTGGATTTTTTGTCTCGACGAACCGAGCCATTAAAACTCCGCTCTTTCGGAGACTGGATCGTGAATTGAGAGAAAGACGGAGGAAGGTCTTGGCAGAAAAAGGGTGGGAAGTCGATGTGGACGAAGAACAAATACCATTGCCGCCGCCATCGGCTCCGAAATGAATTTTTGGAAAACGTAGGACATTTTCGGTATCTTTACTGCAAATCCAACTCGAAGAAAATGTTCTTTGTTGGGTTCTGGCCTATTCATGATTGTGTTGACCAGCTACTAGATGTAGTGCAGTTGGAATTAGCTAGGAACCGGTAACCAGTAGTTTCAAGCGCTGATCTTTTAGTGCACTCTTCCGTCGACGTTGCTCCGGCTGAAGGCGCGGACCGGTACTGGGGGTCACTCTGACTTCGCCTACTATGGTACCAGTAGGTGCTCAGGAAGGACCGCCGCGAGGAATCGAATCAGTCCGTTCTGGTATAAGGAGTTGACCTCCTTGCTCCTTCCTGGTGGTCCAGTTCAGACCCAAAGAGTCGCTGCAACATGAAAAGTTCAAGGATACGATTCGCTCTTCCAAGTTCAACTCTGATCCTTGTTACTCGATGAACTGCAGACTAAAGTAGCAATTGTGCACACGCCCTTTGTGTGTGTTACGTTTCTGATCGATCCCACGCCTCACCCCGTTTTCTGGCTCTTGTACTTGTCTTCGATTTCGTTCAACATTTGGTCCACTCTAACCTTTGGATCCAACTTCTTGACGCTCTTGACGTCATCCTTGGTGACGCGTGTTTTGACTAGAAACTGTTTGTAGTTCTGCCCAGCCAGTTGCATGGCATCTTTGATGACTGTGACAAAGCCACTGGTTCCTACCACCAGTTTTTGGCACTGGGCCGCCATTTTGGCTTCGGCCAAGATGGAATGTTTATTAAAGCCTCCTTCGGTGCCCCGGAATCGTGTTCGATTCAGATAAATCCAATTGTACGTTTCGCCATGGTGCGTCTGGACTTCTTCAATGGTAGATGCATCATCGCACAGCAACACAATGGTCTCTCCTGGCTGGACTTTTCCCTTGTCAATGTACTCTAGTAGAAGCAAAAAAGCAGCAAAAAGCAGCAAACGAGAAGGTAAACGTACACATAGAATGGATGATGATGAGGGGAGCCATCCACATCGAGGCAACAGCAGGAGATTCCACCCTCACCTTGTACAGCGGCATACCGTCTCCAAGGGATCTTGACAAATCCCGAGTCCCCTCGTCGTATATGCATAGCTGTGCAGTTAATATTCCATGGCAATGGTGGCAGTCCCTGCACTTGTGTGATGAGCTCAAATACCTTTCGTCGTACCTGTTGTTTTGGTCGGACAGCATAGAGCCGTAACCACTGAAACTCGGTATTTGCCTGCTGAGTTTGGGGGATCGTGGCGCTATATTTACTTTCGCCTCCAATGACGGGTTTGCAATCTGATAATGGTAGATAGTAGCACTTGGAAAAGTAGTGGCAGCAGAGGCAGCAAGAATGTGGAAAGGACTGGAGAGGTTAGCACTCGAACTGAGAACTACGGTCTAGCTAGCTAGAAGGAAAGATACATACATTCATGTCTTGGCTCTCACAGTAGGCCCAACTGGATTCATTCTTGGGGGCAAACATCCATGTCATTTGAGGTCGATGCTTGGTGATCTGGAAGGGCAGACCTCGGTCTGATGCAAATTGAAATCCGTAGACAATTTGATTGATACTAGCAGCATAACCGGAATTGGTCTGGTTGGCCAGAATGACATGTTCACAGGTAGAATTGTTGTGGTTCCACTGGTTGTCATGGACCTTGCGAAAGAAGGCCGCCTTTTCGTTGTCTTGAATTCGAGAAAAGCAGAACTGATTGTTGGTCTCTTGGCTGACATACCAATCAGGGTGATGCAGCCACCAATCATCCATGTTGGTCTGCCACGAAGCACAGCAGGGGCCATCTTGGTCATCTTGACAGGTCAACAGCTGCAGTTCCTTAATCTCATTTGCTCTGCCATGGCTCTTGAACGAGACCAGCTTCGCGGGGAGATTTGCTTCCTTCTCGTGGGAAACTTTGGAGTTTAGGAACAGTTGGAGGGAAAGGACGAGGCAAAATCCTACCCAAACTACCACCAGAAACTCCTTCTTCTTAATCATCCTTTTGCCGTCATCGTCATCAAGGCATGTCCAACCACCGCATCGCTTGATGAGGGGCGGCGCTGTTGGTTGCGTCGAAGACGGTCATCGTGTCATCGTGTCATCGTCATCTTTTGCACATTGGCTTTCCTTCTCAACTCACTAATTTGCTAAGTCTGTGAAGATTTAGAAAATATTTGTCGTTAAGTATCTAACTCAACACCAGACAGAGTGGTTAAGTAATGATGTCGCAGCATCAAAGATATATTCCTAAGTATCTTTGATACCAGATCGGAGGCTTGTACACACTTTTGCACAGTAGTAGCCTTTCACCAGATAACTCCCACATTTTCATCCCTTTTCTTTACCAGACGGCCCATTGCAAAAGCCGATCCAAGCAAAGCAGTCCATGCCAGGGAAGTCTTTGCACCATAGGGAATTGATATGGCTGCTACGATACGATATGCAAACCAGCACCAAGCAAGCGAGTAGTAGCATTGCTTTGACAACGAAGAAAGAACCATCGCATCTTTCTTCGATTGGTTTGGTGTTTTCCACACCAGACGATTGGCTGGCAAGGCCATCCAACCATTGTAGCTAGTACATAGATAGAGAGACGAGAGAGCAGCGGGTCTAGAGGCTTTCCGAGTTACGCGACAATGAGGGCGTCGCTCCTGATGGCGACTGTCCTAGTCCTGTTGTGCTTGGATGTTGCACAAGCTGGCATGGGCCTCAGAGGGAGCGGCGCCTCCAAGGGAGACGAGGATGGAGGAACCACCTCTGCCATTACTAGTAGTAGTGATGGCAGCGGAGTAGACGAAGATCGTAGCGGAGAGACGACAAACAATCTTCGTCCACAATCCAAAGAACAGCCGGCAACCATCACCGACACGGCCAAGAAGAAGACGCAGGATAATAAGAAGTTTCGGCTGCCCGGCCAACAAACACGCCGTGAAAAATGGTGTGCTCCCCATGAAACGGAAGCATGTGGTCAGAGCATGGGCCACTTGCTCTGTGAATACAACCCAGAAAAGCAAGTATACGCAACTCGATGTGTGCGTCAACCAAAAACATCCCTCCACCTCCAACTCCATCCTCGCAACTACTGCGGCGCTTGTCGACGGTGCTTTCAAGACACGGACGAGCTACGGCATGCCGTCGCCGAGTATGTGGCCAACAACACCGAACACACCGATGTAGCGCACAACTATGGTTGGCCCATCAACAAGTGGTGTGTCAGTCGGATTACAGACTTTTCCAATCTCTTTGCTCATCAGCGCAAGTTTAAGGAACCCATAGGTAATTGGGATGTCAGTGCAGCTCGTAACATGTCTGGAATGTTCCTGAGCGCCTTTGCATTCAATCAAGACGTGAGTCAATGGAACGTTGACAAGGTAGTGGATATGAGTCGAATGTTTGACAGTGCCTATGCGTTCAACCAGCCACTTGAAAGCTGGAACACCGAGAGAGTAACCACAATGAGTCGCATGTTCCGAGTCGCCAAGAACTTTGATCAAAGCTTGAGTAAGTGGAATACCAGTCAAGTCAAGGATATGTCCAACATGTTCTATAGAGGACACTCCTTTCAACAGGCTGTCGCCTGGGATCTTTCACGGGTACAAGATATAAGTTTCATGTTTGCATACACCAGGTACGCTTTGGTTCCAGCCGATCGATCGGATTCATCATGTTGGCTATTGGTTCCAACCGGGTCGGACCCTTCTTGACTTACTTCCTCTCCTTCTTGTTGCCCTACTTACTAGAAACTTCGATCACAACAGTGTTGTCAGGTGGGATGTGTCACGGGTACACACAATGCGTGGAATCTTTCAGAATACGAATGCATTTAATCAAGACGTCAGTTCTTGGGATGTCAGCAATGTCCGAGATATGAGTTTTGCCTTTTACCGAGCCCTGAGCTTTCAAGAAGACGAAAGGAAGCAACGGGCGATCTTAACCAAGTGGGACTTGTCCAAGGTTCTTGACAAGCAGAACATGTTTGCCTTTTTGGCTCAAGGAGCGATGAATGCCACAGGCGTATCACAAGCCGAGGGCGTGATGCTCTCACATCCATCCTATGATGGCTCCCGAATGGCGCATGGGATGGCGGTAGAGAACCATGACAAGGCTTCGCCGTCGTCATCCTCGGCATCATCATCATCAAGTACACAAGGAACATCGGTCTAGTTGTTTAGAGCGGTTGTGGTACAACAAGAGAGCCATGGAGTATGATGCAAAGTGTGTCACTTCATGCGCCCTGTCCTACAATTCGATCCTCCTAGAGCGAGTTTTATCAAGCAAACATTCATCGTCAAAGTAGTAAACACAATATATCATTCATAATCGATTTGTAGCTTGGCGTGGTGCTCACCTTCAAACTCCGGTTGCTTGGGCCTCTGGCTCAACTGCACCACTAGCCAGAGGCAACACGGTGCTACACCAGCAGTTGCCAATGGCATCGTCCTTGGTTTTACGTGAACTGGAGTGGAAACACGGAACAGACTTCCTTTGCCTCGGAAGCTTTGAGGCGACGACTCGAGCACAACGCCCGTAGCGGCGCTCAGTGCATTCCCTGAGAGCTGGAGCACGATCGACTGGGAATTTCTTATCAAATCAATCCATCGCACACAATGTAGTACTCTAAATTTACCTACGGTAGCTACTTGGCTCAGCTTTTTACTCCTTATCCATTTCTCTCATGACAATATGAGCAATATCCATGATAATTAGCATACTCCCATAGGGCATAAACGGCCGGAAGGCTGGTTTGGACATGAGAGCTCCCATGCTGACGGCACCCGAGATGACAATTTCTCCAGCTTCACCCGGATCCAATGTTGTACGTAATCCATATTTGACAACATGGAAACCTCCGAAAAAGGCACCAAAGACGGAACCTAAAAAAGAAACAAACCAAACCAAAACGAGTGAGGAAGCAGTAAAACTCAACATAGACGAACACAAGTTGCCAAACCGTCCATCTCCACGACAGCAGAACAATACAGTATGTATCTCACCTGATCGAGTAGTTCCTTGCATGAGATAGCGAAACTTGGCCATGTTGGATGCCTTTTGCAGAACATCCGACTGTCCTGCCGTTCTCATTCCATCCATGAATCCAAAGACACATCCCGTGATACTCCCAATACAGGCACCAAATGCCGCTTGTCGCAAGAGCTCCATGTGCGAGTATGGCACTTTGGTCGACTTTGCGGCGTTAGTGGTAGCATCGTCAGTGGTGGTGGTGGTACTAGGAATGGCAGGATTTCGTTCTTGCAGTGACAATTCCGTTTGTTGCGTTTCCCGTTGGAGCTCGCGAAAAAGCCGTTCCTTTTGGCCGTCCAAATCGGCTCCATCTTGAGGGATCCTGGACCAAGGAATGAAGCGTGCTCGATCCCAACTAGACATGATGATTGATTCGATTCGAAGTGTATTGCTGGTCGGACAGGGACAAAACGAAGGGAGGTTTGTGGTGGTTGTTGTGTGTTGTGTTGTTGTTCTGGTTGATGGCTGGGACTCGGAGGCAACGTCACCAACTCGTGACCAAAAAGTTCCTTTGCAATGCTGTGAGGCGATTTGGGCAGCTTTGACAGCCTACATCCATGTCGTTTTGTTTCGGGGGATAGGAACCGGTACCAGCGGCACGGTGGACAAGTCGTACTCAGAGTAGCCTTTAAAAAATAGACTTCAACTATCAGCAGTTTTGTTTCATGTGACAGCGCAGCTTGTGTGCTCTGTGTGATCAGAGGACCTTTGCTTGCTTGGCGGGACACGTGCGCGGTGGCTTTTGGTCTTCACTGGATCACACAAAGATCATTTTTCGCAGCGGTGCAGCAGATCAACATCGTTCATCTGCAATAAGCGGAAGAACAAGATGCCGAATCCAACTTCTAGAATGAGGATCCCGTATCTTGCTATTGTACTATCTCTTCTTTCAGTCAGTGCTCGTAATCACATTCGGTCTCACAATCGAAATCTTGATTTTGATTCCAATGCTGTTAGTGGTGGTACCAATGAAGTTGATCTGAATGATCCAAACATTCGGGGTGGCGGTGATGCTGGTACTGTTCCTTGGTTTGTCCGCCTGGAAGGATCCAGTGTGTGTGGTGGATCTTTGATTCACGATGACTGTGTCTTGACTTCAGCATCCTGTGTGAATTCTGGCTTTCCCTCCACAGTTTTGGTTGGCCCAACCTCTTCAAGCAATGGTACCTCATATACTGTATCAGGAGGAACAATCCATCCCTCATGGACAGGGACTCCTGATGCCAACAGAGACATCAATTTGGCAGTTTTGAAACTGGCAACAACTTCTTCCAATTCCAAAGTCACCCTCAACAGTGACAGTGCTGTTCCGTCAGGAACTGATACTATGCAGATATTTGGATTTGGACTTATCAACAACGCAGAATATGCCAGTTCCTTGCAACAAGCTTTTGTACCACACATTGCAGATTGTGCATCCAGCTATTCCAGCTACAATGCCACACAAACTATTTGTGCTGATGCCACTTCTGGTGCTACCTGTACAGGTGATTCAGGGGGACCAGTGCTGGGAGCTGATTTGCTGACTCAGGTTGGAGTGGCTTCCTTTGGTGTGGGAGCAACTTGTACTGGACGTACTGTGGTTGGATTTGTACGAATCAGCCATGTCTATGACTGGATCCAGAATGAAATCTGTGCATTGTCATCGAGCCCGCCAACCAGTTGTGCTGCGCCAACCAGAGCACCCACAAGGGCACCCACGAGAGCCCCAACCAGAGCCCCAACAAAGTCACCGACTAAGGCACCAACAAAAGCACCAACAAAAGCACCGACCAAGGCACCCACTAAAGCACCCACCAAGGCACCCACAAAAGCACCTACAAAAGCACCCTACAAAGCTCCATCCACCACAGCTCCATCCACCACAGCTCCATCGTTAGCTCCATCGTTAGCTCCATCGTTAGCTCCATCCTTAGCTCCATCACCAGGCCGAACTTCACCCCCAACACCCATCCCGACCCCAAGGCCCACCCCAAGGCCGGCCCCAACACCCGTTCCTAGTGGCTTTCCTACTCCGTTTCCTACACCAGAACCCACCGCCAATACGGCAGTCATTCCTTGCTTCCTTGGTTCAGATCTGGTGTTTCATGTTACCCACACAATCGAAGAAGGTCTGGTAGCAATCCAAAAGTTGATTGGTGGCTAATCTTGAGTGATTGATTGGCTATACGGTCTGTCAGAAACTCAAGTTGGTGAATCAACCCAAGAGAATCAAGGAAATGAGACAAGGCATGTTTGGTATCAATCGATTTGGTAGAGGCAAAGAAAGCAAGCGTTAGAATATTTCTACAAAACTAGCTAGTATGATGCAGCAAAACTTCCCCAGTTGGCTGCCTCGGTAAGTTGTTGAGAAAGAGCTATACACACTTGTAAGGTCACGTAAGGTACCGTAAGGTAAACAGTAATGGATAGAGAAAACAATGCAATCACAAAAAAAAAACGAGACAATTGACAGGCCATGGAACCGGCCTGACCTTGGTTGTCCCCTGGAGTGGCTACGAATGACCCACAGGGTCCCCATGTAGAAACGGTGTGCAATAAACAAGCCCTAGTGCCTCGTGTCGGTGACCGAAAATGGTGCTACCTCCAATTGGAGAGACCTTTGTCAGCCTATTTCAAGGGTCCTAACAGTGAGGCTAGCACTTGTATTTGACCACAAACATGTCCTATAGTCGTTACATAGCTGTTGGGTTGACTTGTGGACGAGTCCAATAGGTGGAGGTAGCTCCATGTGGAGGTAGCTCCGTGGAGATACCTCCAACCATCTTCCTTCAAGCTCCAGCACTCCAATACCATCCAAAACAAGCCTGCAACAGCAAGCAAACAAGACGATTAGACACCTTTAAAAGGCAGACCAAGGTGCCGTTCAGTTTCAGGTTTTCATGCGTACGTACCATCGTCATTGTCGGTGTTTTTCGGTTGTCGGTGGCAGCAGTTTCGAAATAGCTCCACCAAAACCATCAGCAACAAGGCTCTACAACAGCAACAACAGATGCATTAGACCACAGCTGACAAGTTAAAAGTAGATCTCAGCTTTGAAACTCACCATTTCGTTGGTTGGCACATTGCCATCGCTAACTTTTCCTTGGTTTGGGGTTCGAGTCCCCATCCGCAATGGTTCACACTATTTGCAAGCTACTTTAGTGTATTAAGTTCGCACACAGTTATAATCTCTTTGATATGCTCTCCCCAGTGATCAGGGCAATAGAATAATCCTCGCGAAGCACGTCCATTAGCATTGTAGGAATCTCCTCGGCAAGGCGGATGTTGACACTTCTTTTGTGTTGCTTTTGTGCAGCCATTGAATCGGCAGGTGCGTCGCTTTGGTCGGCCCTTGCCATCGTCTTCTCTGTCTGAATTGTCCCCGAATTTGTGTTCATCAACAATCGATCCCACTGAGGCAGCTGAAACTGGTGAGATCGAATCACTTCCACTAAGCTCAACTAGATCCGGAATGTCATTGTCGACTGTGATGTACATTCCACCAGAAAGTGGATCGTCGGAATGGGTGTTGCGACAGAGGTCTGTAGACAACCTGTCAACGAACTTGACAATGGTGAGATCTTTCTGCTGCCTTTTGGTCAACAACGCCAGCCACGTGTGTTAAGCTTCCAACAATTGGTGATCTTGTAGGATATGCAACTGCTGTTAGCACCACGTTAAGCGATCGATACAGCAAGCCAACGATTACTTGCCGTCATCCCAGCCATGGTGGTAGCAATCCGGAACCACCCATTCCTTGTAATCCAACACTTTTCCAGCTTGAGTATACCTTGCCGTGCTTGGTCGATGGCATTGCTGTCGTCAAAGTATTCAGAAACAACCGAAGACCTCTCCACTTTTCTTTCACAAACTTTGCCAACAGAATCAGCAAACCGAGCAATGTAAGGATCTCCATGATGTGTAGATCCAGCGCCTTTGGTGGCAAGGAGGCACAAGACTTTCTTTCGGTTGTACTTGTAATCAATTGCCAGAAGTGAAGAGTGCCGCCTGTAATAGGAGACTCACATTCCAGCACCAAGGAAGATTCGCTCGGCCACTCTTCCATTGTCTTCGCAATCTCCTTGTTTGGATAATACTTGGTGGCTGTTTTCATCATTCCGATATACTCGTGTCCATTCTCTGCCATGGATCCACTCAACTGCTGGGACACTTGTGAACCATGAGTCGCCCTTAAAGTATTCCTTCTCACCCACTCTTGAGGCTTCCTTTCGCGAAGGATGCTTGTTTCCACAATGCTGGGTTTCCATGACAAGTCGCACTGTACAGGCAGACTGAACACCGAACTGGTTTGTGTACTCTTTGACTCTCATTGGTTCTACTCCTTCCTGGATCTCTGCATGGATAATAACTCCCAACGTTGCACAAGCAGCAGTCTTGAACTCTGTACCCAATGGCTCGGGCTTCCGCTTGATGTAGGAGAGATGAGGAAGGCCGCCATATCGACTGGTTTGTGGCCGGTGGGCGCTCATGGTTTCGTCGAAGACCTTGAATTTGGATGCTGCAACCCACTTCTTTCTATTATCGTTGTAACCATTGACAACCCCACGTACCATCTCCGTTCGATTCAGCTTGCTTGTCTTGAAATGCCCATGGAAAGACTGCCTTGATACTATAATTGAATCGATAGAAGGCCATTAACTCCTCGCCATGGACGCCAAGGTTGATCATCTCTGAAATAGTCCACTCTCTCGATGCTTTTCCTGCTCAAAGAGTTCATGACCGCCAACACGATAGGCAGCAGCAGCAGCAATAATGCCGATAAACTTCCAGAATTCATGCTTGGAGACTTTGTGAACTAAGTTGGGATTCTTTGGGCTTGTCTTCTTTCTCTCTTCATTGACAACATCAATGTGTTGGTTGATTTGTCTTTGTTGCTGCTGCTCGGCGTCACCAGGCCACAATTGCTGAAGCAGTTTCATGTACCGGTAGTCGTACTGCTTGTTGCCCTTCGTGACTTTCTCAGTGTCGAATTGCCCAAAGTCAAAGCCGACAAGATCAACCTCTTGATATTCCTACAAGATCAACCTCTTGATATTCCTCGACAATAACATCTGGAGTATAGTTTTTGTATGGTTGGCTCCCAAATTTGGACGAGGGACTGCGACGAGAGCTCCTTCAGATCAGTGGAATCGTTGAATTCCACTACCCATTTGCTTCCGTCAGGTGCTTTTCGAAGGGTCTTGCCATAGCAAGGATGCTTGGTTCTGGTTTGGACTCTTGTATTGAGTCGCATTGGAGGCTTGCCTGGCATGAATTCAACCGTCCACTCATTATCAAGGAGCTCCTGCTTCTCCTGTTTGTAGATAATCATCTTTTCGCGGTGTTCCTCTTTGTATTCGAAGTCACGCTCATCTGTTGGCAATACATCTTCCTCAAGATCATTGTCTGCTCTGCTGGTAGGTTCGCTGACTGTTGGAGTTGTTGGTGGAGGTGTTTCAGTTGATTTAGCTGCCGCTGACTCATCGTCACTCGAATCATCATCACTGCTGCTGTGGATAGGAAATCCTGGAATCGAATCGCTTGTTGACTTGTCGTCTTCCAAATGCTTTGACCAATCGTAGTCTGGTGCCGAAGATTGCTCCGAGGCCAACGTGGCTTGCGGTGATTGCGGCGCCGGTGGTGGGCAGATTCTGTGGTTGACCGCAGCCCGTCGCTTTGGCCGAACTGGAGTTTGGTTGTTGGTGGGATTTGTGGCTTCCACCGGTGGTGCTTCTGCCGGTGGTGGTGCTTCCTTCGATGGTGATTCTTCGGTTGGTGCTTGGGTGGTACCTTGCTGATCCACATGAGAAAGCTGCAAAAACGTCTTGACAACCTCTTCAGTCGATCCGTCTGCGTTTTCAAATTGGACCAGCCAAGTGTACTTTTTGCCATCTACTCGATCATGCCGAACAATGTGTGGTTTGGCTCTCTCTTTCACCCACAAGCCAGTGGTAAAGTTAGGTTTCCGTTCCTTTCCCATCGTCAGACTGTTCGATTTCAGAAGCAACTTGATAGTGGACGATTGGACGATCAAGCGAAGAACAGATTCACGCTGCAGCTCTCGGAATCTGCACGCGAATCCTGCCTTGGAACGTTCCATTCTATCGGTTGCATGTAGATAAAGCTGCCTGCCATCTTGTCATTGGTTTATCGGTTCTCGATGGACAAAAGCTTGAGACAGAACCAACACGTTTGCTCACTCCATGTGTTGAGGCTCAGTTGGATCTTTTGGTGGCCAAGATTGTGAAGTCACGGACCCAAAGTACTCTTTTTGCACAGTAAGGGTGGGTCTTTCAAAGATTGCACCATTGAGTTATCAGTTCGATCTTTCGAAAGATTGATGAAAGATTGATAGAAGACTACTTCATTGAACTCGATCGATCTTCACAATGATGCCGAAACAGCGGCTGATGATAAGATGAATACTATTTTAGTTTCAGCGCTGGCTATATCATTGGCACTTGCTTTCCGACCAGTGGAAATAGGTGTGTTTTGTTTGGATAATAGATTCGATTATGTTTCTTTTTGGATTTCGATGACGTCTTTCCTTGCATGCCTGTTTATTCTGCTGCTGCTTTGTTTTTGACTTTCACTCGTCACTTGTCGCTTCCACTCTCCTCATCAATTCCACCACAAGCAAGCAACCCAACAACAGCTTCATACTCCTTCCTCAAACGATTGCTTAGCAGGGGACCTTCATTTGGAGCAAGATTTTGATCATCAATCTGACGCAAACCAAGAAGTTGTCAACCGACCACCTCCTCCTCTGGTCCTGCTTCAAGATCAACCATTGATACTCCATTCCGAGGAGGTTGAGGGGGTGCAGGAGACAGTGTCGCATTAAACTCTTCCTCATGTTCGTCCCAGTCCTGGACAAAGTTTCTGTAATGAATTCGAGGTGGGATCAACCTGTCGCATGAGACACAGTACTGGCCACCTGCCAAGTATTTGTCAACCCATCTGGCTGGAAAGAGGGAGGGCCAGAGCTTGAACTGGCGGTTCTGGAGGAACGCAGGCAGTGGAGCGGGAAAGGAAAGGAAAACCCAAGTCATTGGAAGTGGTGGACCTCCATCAGTCACAACAACCTTCCGGACAGTCTTCATAGAGTCTAATGCTGCCCCTCCCATTCAGGTATGGGATCAAACTGGAGCTAGGCGTGGGTTCGTTGTTGGAGTAGTGGAGGAGGTTCCCGTGCTGGGGCTCAAAGTGCTGGGGATGGCCGTGCTTGGACCAACGGTACTCGGCGACAGGGTAGTTGGGCCTGATGTGCTGGGGCCAACAGTAGTGGGAACACCGGTGCTGGGGCTGTCTGTGCTAGGACCAACCGTTGTTGGGCCGCCGGTACTTGGAGACGAGGTACTGGGCACTCCGGTGCTTGGACTCTGAGTTGTGGGACCAACGGTGCTTGGGCTCTGAGTGGAAGGAGCGTCACTGCTGGGACTCTGACTTGTGGGGCCAACAGTTGTCGGGGACAGAGTGGTGGGAGCGACACTGGGTTCGCCAAGGGTCGCAGTGGGAACCGAGGTGCTCGGGATGGCCGTGCTGAGTGACGACTGATTGAATGATTGCCTTTGGTCGCTGGAGCGAACTATTCGAAAACGATCGGGTGATGGTGAGTAAACAATGGCTGATGATGGCAGTTCCAATCAATACGTTGCTATATTGGTTACTGCTACTAACTATACTTCTCCTGTCATTTCTTGTTCATCAAATCCTGTGGAAATTGCGACGGGATACAGCTTACAATTCAGCTTTACAGCTTTACAATTAGCAGGCTTATTCTAGAAAATAATCAATAACTGCTCACTTATTTGGAAATACAAACTTTACAACTCTTAGATCTTTAGACTAGTCAATGCACAATGGTATTGTCGCATGGTAGCATGCGAGGTTATGAGATGTTACTCATTCTTATTCTTATATGTCTATCCCTTATGGTTGACAATGGAATGGTCTATCACCTGGTGCAGAGCCCAATCTCCATCGGTAGTCCTTCCCTTTGTTGCAACTTGCTCCCCTTGGATTCGCTCGAAAGCAATCCCCTTGTTGTTGATTCGCTCGTAAGCAATCCCCTTGTTAATCCTATTGACGATCGCAATCTCAATGAGGACCATCCTGTCGTCGAGGACCATTCTGTCTTCGAGGACCATCCTGTCGTCGATCGAAATCGCGATGAGGACCCTATATTGTACGATGGACTCCTATGGGAGTCCACCCTTTACTCGATCGATGCAGGAACCACTACTGGTACTGCACGTTCGCCTACTACTATTGCTTCTACTGCTACTACTGTTACTGTTACTACTACTGTTATCTCTATCACCGGCAGAGCCTTGACCATGCTCAGCTTCAGCATAGATCAATCGATCGGCCGGGTTAACAGAGGTCGCGATGGAGTTAACAAAATTCATCGAAAAGTGAGACCCGTCTGCATATATGCGGATCGGCTTGTGTGTCATGCCTTGAGTCATGCTTCGAGGGCCATTTCCCTCTCTATTATCCGTTCGAACCGGCTGAGTCATGCTTGTGTTATATCCTCGCAGACTCCTCACTTTTTCGTTTTAAACCATACGGATACGTACAACAACAACAACAACAACACGTACACGAGCGATCGATCGCTCCATGATGTTGTTGTTGCAGCTGTTGGTCGTTCGAATGAAGAAGGAGACTGGCTTGCAGTTGGTCGTTTGAACCGGCTTGCATGTTGTTCGAACTCAAACAACAGCGAAGACACCAGCACGAGCAAAGATAACAGCACGAGCGATCTGTTAGCATTTTCGAAGCTAGTTTCGAAGCTACCTAGGACTGGAATCGGTCGTTCAATTGAAGAAGGAGACTGGCTTGCAGTTGTTCGTTTGAACTGGCTTGCATATCGCTCTCGCTTGAACTCAAACTCTTGTAAAGCTCATAAATTCCATCTTCGATTGACTCGATTGACTGGATATCCGCCGCTCTCCTTGTGTTGCCATTGCTCTTGTTATCAACTTCAATTGACTCAATTGACTGGATTTCCACCGGCCTCCTCTTGTTGCCGCTCCTCCTTTTGTTGCCATTGCCCTCCTGTTGATTCCCACTTGATGGACCTTGACGACGCTTCCTCTGATTCAGCATCCTCATCTTCAATTTCAACTCCTTCAACTCCTTCAACAGTACCAGCGCCAGCACCATTCTTCAGTCCTCGAGGAATTGTCCAAGCTTTCTTTGAACCAGATCCCATAGAGGCACCATCAGACCCAACCATGACTGCAGCACCATTGA